TTAGTACAGACATAGCCTGTGTTAATTATAAATTACGCACCAGCTTCTTCTGCCCTTGCTAATGTAAGCAACAGGTTAAATGAACTCAAAATCCCATCAAAGTGACTGTATTAAAACTGTTTGTTTCCATTAGGACACAAGGTCTTCCATTCTTTTAAAGAGAGTTCTGTAAGTCAACCATGTATATATACGCATTTTCTGTTGACTGCTCTGAAGGTGGTAGCTCTTTAACCACTACAGCTAAATTTATTACAATTTGTCTCAGAATACTCTCATGTCTGTAATTGCCAGCATTTTGCTAGTTTGCCAAAGTGTTAAAGGTGCTAATAGTTTATATTTTTATAGACTATGAAGTGATGACGTTTCAAGTTTATTCCTCTGGAGTGAGAAATATTTCAACTCAATTTTTTTTTTTCAATTTCAAAAAAATTGGAGGCAATTACTATTAATCCTACAGAAGCTAACAGGAGCTTTGCTATTAGCTCCAACTGGCTACAGGAATAGTCTCAAGGAACGCTCCAGATGGCATCCAAATGGCAGATAATTTCTAAGGAACAGACTGGGCTTCTGTATGGCAGAAATGAGTATTTCAAGTACATAAGCTAACCATTAACAGAGCAATTAAACCTAATGCAACAGTAGTAGAAAAGAACTAGAAAATTGTTTTCTTTTTGTATAAAAGATCAAGTTCCACACTATATTCTCTATATAAATACATGAATTTATACAACCAGTAAACATCTCCTATTGATAATTACCAAATGATGCTTTATCAACCCTGCTGACCCTAGCAGAAATAAATATCATTTATTTCTGAAGATGCAGCAGACAAATTTAAAGTCCTGTCCAAACTCCTCAGCTTCCTCAAGTCCTCAAAAACTCCTCCTTTTACTTAAGACAGCAAAAGAGTCACGTACAGTTCCTGCAAACATTAAATCTTCGTAGTTAGAATAAGCAGCATCAAACCCTGATGATACGAAAATCATACCACGAAACGTACAATCTATGGAAACAGAATCAAAAGAGGGGAGAGCCCATTGTATAAATATAACACTCAGTACGCTGCATTTGAGAGGTACTTATGTCATTGGGCTGGAAAAATAAAAACTTCATATAATTTTCTGTGGCTCTCACTTACTCACACGTGAACTGTGCGAGATGATTTCCTGGTTGTAAGCTAAATATATTGCTCCAGCTGAGTTATCCTCAACAATATACGTCACTTGTTAACTTTAACTTTCACAAATGCTTTTTACACTGCTAATTACAAGTTACCAGAACTGTCAAGCTTATATGCAATAACTTAATACTTAGGAGCACAGATAGAAAAAGGGAGAAACAGTAGTAAACATTCGTAATGCAATTGTTAATAGGAAGCATCAAGCAAAATGGGTCCTCTGACATGTCCATTGTGGATCTTATCTGTGCATAATATATTGTTTGAAATCTTTTTGTAAGAGTAATACCACCATACTTCTGCTCACACTTCGTTAACTTTATGTTACATGTGGAAAAAGGTCTCCTGCCAATCTTCCAGAAAGGAGGAAGGACTAGATGCAGTGAAAAACACTGGTAATTTTACCCTTGAAAAAAGATGTGTACACTATCAAGGTATTATAAAATTGTCATAAAGTCAAGTAGCATACTGATTCAATTAAAAAGTAAAAATTAGCTGGTTGCATGTTTCTGTACAGAAAGTTTTGGAACACATAAAATTGGTCCTTATACAAAATCAATTCTTCTTGTTTGAATTATAATTTTACAATGTTTCAGTCTGAATTTCTTGGGGTAGGGATGGAGAAAAAAATGACAATTTCTATTATTTACACTAGCAAGGATATGTAGTCCAGTCCCAAAGTAAAAAATACTGGATCGAAATAGTCTGGCCAGGTTTTGGTCACCTGTCTTTACCTTTTACTCTTCTCCCATAAACTTAAAATATTTCTCTTGGGAGGAAAAAAAAAGTAGTTAAGGGTAAATAAATAAAAATGTAGCATAATACATTAAAAATTTGCCACTGCAATCATGTAAGAATTTTGATTTTTGAAAATGTTTTTCTTTTAAATCATTGTAAAAATGAAAAAAGTACAACCACGAGTTTGCCTGGTTTCATTCAGTTTCTACAAAGAAGATGCTATGCATCATAAAGATAGTATTTGTATCATCTGAAACAGAGATTGCTGCAGCAGTTGAACACAAGAAGCAGGAAAAATTCTACTAAAAAATGACAACAACTAAACATGCATTTAGCAACCTGCTATCACTTCAAAACATGCATTCCCTCTCTTCCTCTTTCCTAAGTGTAGGTCATTAATCTACATGAATATCAGCCACTTCAAAAAACACAGATTGCTCTTTATTCCTTTCACAGATTTTAAGGTACGCTGACTGAACGTGGACGTTCAGTGGAAGTTAACAGTATGGAATTTTTTTTCCTCCCCCAGTAAACTTTTGACTTGATGTTTTTAGCATCTTGAATCAGGCTCCAAAAATTCTACTGGGATAACTACTATGAGTTTTCTAGAAAAACCTAACTACTTCTAGGGGGTTTGTTTACCTTTTTTGTTGAAATATTAGGATGTGTGCTTTGAAACATTTCAACCATTAGAATTAAATTATAATGAATTCAAGTCATTAAAAATGAAACTATGCAAGTCCTCAGTTCTAGGAGCTAGAGCTTTTACAACAGTAAGAGAAAACCAACTACCTGGAAATCTACAATAACCATGAAACGGTAACCCTGTGTTCAAAAATTTGTGTTTAGAAAAGCCACATCACTAAACACCATTACAACCCATGACCTCGGTGAAGAAATCCCATAAAATATTTTGAGCCTCCTTGTCGAATGCATTTGGAATTGATATCCAACACTATCCTAAGGCATGGAGTTGCATAAAAACTTGCTCTCCTGGGCATCTATTAAGTACAGCATAAATGATATTTAAAACACTGTTTCTACTTGCACATTTAAAAAATTCCTTTGCTTGTAACAATCAAAGTTAAATTCTTTGGTGGTCATTTAAAAAACTGAACTATATAAAGACAAGTGATAAGTTGTCCTATACTGAGGTAATCTGAGGAGCGTCATAAGAAAGTTGCTTTACAAACACTTGGTCATTCTCCCTGCCTAAAAGCGGCTCCCATTTTTTTTAATACACCCGGTGTAGGCCTCTACCACAATCACTGTGTGGCCTTAAGAGATTCAGTTCAACAGTCCAACTTAATGCATTGCATGTAGCAAGACTGAAATTTTTATAGAGAATTTATCCTACAATTAGGAAAGTAAAGAAAGTTCTTTGATTGGTTATGACTGGGAAGATTAACTGCATAGTCTACCATAACAGCCCTATACTGGAATGCTGCCACACATTAAAATATAGTGTAGCCTACAGAGAAACACGGAGAAAAAAGGAAATACAGCTTATGAAGGCTTGACAGATGCCACCTGAACATCATTAAAGGGGTCAATGTCAAGTACATAAAAAAAACAAAAAAAACCTTTCCATTGTTTGCCTAATTTTCCATTGTTTGCATATGCTTTTAATACAACGGCATGAAAATAATGTCACTTGGCAAATGGATTTGCAGGGAGAGGGGGAGGGTTTGACTGAAAACCTAATGGAACGTAGCCTTTTACTTCTGTTTGTGTACTAGAATAATCAATTACGTCCACATGGCTCCCAGAGTGGTCCCTGTTCAACCTACAGCAGCAAGCGCACACCGCATTACGACTGGCTATAAATGAAGCCTGCTGTGCTCCTTTGTAAAGTTTCTTGCAATAGAAGAATGAGAGGAATACATTTGACTTTCCAAGGGTCAATTCCTGTCGCACTCGTGAAAAAGGATGCAGTACTTGACAGTGTCCCCTTTAAATGGGGAAAATAAGCTTTTGAAAAAACAGAAGAAGTGTTACTCTACTGTCCAATAGCAAACCAAATACATATGAATATACTCTTCAACCTGTAAGAATTGACAAAGTAAAATTGGCAAAGTAAAAGTCAAGCTCCTCTTGCTGGAATGACACGTTCTTAGACACAGCAGGGAGATATCAGTTCTGTGCAAGTTCTCAGGCATGTGGTGCAATATCATCTCATCTCAAATATTTAAGTAGCTTTTAGTTTCTTAACCTCTAGATATATGCAAATTATTTTTCTATAGATTACTACTTTGTGACAAATTAACTGGAAATTCAATTATGAAGCTATGTTTTGTTTAAGTAAACTGTAAATAATCTTATAAAGTCTGTTCTAATGCAATTTCTAAACAAAGATGGTTTTCAGTTTTTAACCTGTCTATACTCATGAATTACTATCTTGTACGTGATTCATCTTTGCATGCATAGTATAAAACCTTTGAGTTTTTTTTTTTTTTTTAAATTTTACAATCTACCAGTGTAGGAGTATTGAGAAGAAACAAATCGATGCCTTTGTATGCATACATAGAAAATTTTAAATTAATAGCAAATTAGTAATGAGTAGAAGCCTACCCCACAAAAATCAAATCAGCTGCTACATTTTAAAACTTGTCTTATGTATGATAAATAAAATGGACTTACTTTTCTTGTATAAAAAAAAGTTTCATTAATCTTTCAACTTCTTTTGAACTACAGAATAAATAAAATGATTAGTGCCTGAAAGTTCAAATATGCTACAGATGTTTAAGGTCACTGACTAACTACAATAATGCACCATGAGAAATTCGTTATAATTTTCCATGCAGGAAGCCAATTGATATTTTTGTGAGGTACCAGTCTTTCAAAAATACTCATAAGTTAGTTACCTGATATACCTTCTGTACATGGTATATTTAAAAATCTATTTGTACAGTGTTTCATCCATATATAATGCATATAATTTGCTGAATATGGCACAAACGCTAAGTTTCCACACCCACACATCCTTTGCCGTAGAACACATTTAGGTAAAACACAACACTGAAGAATAGAAAAGTGCCTGAAACTGGAGGGAAAAAAAAAAAAAAAGGACACTCAAGCAGTAATAAATTAAATCTCATTCAAACAGATATAAAAAGTTGTTCAAGTGTTTAAAGTATCAGACGTGTCATGCAACAGAACAACAGACAGGTCAGGCAGGCACACCATGCATTATAGTTTGCATTCATGGCATTAACAAGGTATCTGTCGCCGTTCTGCGTGGCCAGTGAGCGCTAGGTACCTGAGGCATCGCTAGTCTCACGTGTTCAACCCTGGAAGAGCCAGCTCTCGGTCCCCTGCACCAGAGGCTTTACGGCAGCTATGCCTCGGGAGGACGACCAGATAACCTCACGCAGTACACTGATCATCTTGCTGCGTTGTAAGGAGAGGCATACTGAGCTGCATGTAAGCAAAGCAATCATTTCTTAGTTATATTTTCCAGTCAGTGCAGTTCACCATATACCAACCAGTTTACCCAAATGTGCTTAATCTGAACCGCTCAAGTTTGTACACCGAGAAAACATCTTCACGGAACCTTTTCCTTTTTTTTGGCACAAAACCTTTCACCCTCTTGCAACAGGCTCTTCACCAGACACGAATTCAGAGATATTAATTAGCCTGTACAAACATACCAGTGCTTTTTCTTCCGTACAGTAAACTACAAAAACAGCAAAGTGCCTGCAACAGCTTTGCTTCTCCAGCAACTTCCCCTCTCTCTCTAGAGAGGGAACACCAGCATAATTACACTTCAGACAAAGGGGTGTTCTTGCCGAGCTCTTTAATTCCCTGGAGAATTCGCTTCATATGACCCACTTTCGTTATCCCCAGGTCCTACAGAAATTAAAAAAAAAAAAAAAAGAAAAAGGGGAAGAAAGAAAAAGAGGAAGGCTTATTTACCAAATAAATAAAAGGGCAATGGTTATGATCTAGCCACGCAACAGAGCTCTAGAAATGGGCTTACTGCAATCAACTTAATGTTAAGTGGAAAAGATTCTGGCGCGCTTGCAAGTATTGCCTAACAAGAGGCTAGCTTACAGCACACAATGAATCTCTCGTCCTGCAGAGAGAAAATTACTTACCTGCAATAATCACAACCCAAGGTGCTGCAGTATTTCTCAAAAACATATTTTTTGCTTGACTGCTAAGTGTAAACGCACAATTTCTGGAGAAAAAGAACAATCTCCCCCTCCTCTCTAACACAGCAATCAACAGCTTGGTAGGATGTGATGGATTAGAGCTTCTGTCCAGCAATGTTACTTGATTTGTGGCCCCATGATGTCTGTTTTCAGCAACAAGCACACACCTCCCCAGTTTCTCAAGGGAAAGTGGAGGTAATGTCTACAGGCATGTAGGACAACTTCCCTTCAGAGAACAATAGATAAAGTTAAGCATTTGTTTTTCATTCTGTAAAGGTAAGTCTCCTTACATGGATACTCTTGATGATTAGAGAGCTAGAAAAGAAATTCTGAGAGACTTGACAGTTGCATCCTACACGAAAATGAAAGGCATAAATGCAAATCTCTTTGTAGCCGCCACTAAAGCGATTAATATCAGCCAAAATGTTTCTAATATTGGTTTCTGGGACCCATCTCAGTATGACTGATAGTAGATTTTTACATCAAACCTCTTCCAATATTAATAACAACTTTAGCAGCATCCTTTTTTCTAATTTTTACGAGTCCAAAGGTCAGAGAAGCAGAACGGGATCTCCAGCTGTGCTAATAATCCCCAACTGTGTTAATAAATTTTCATCTTGGTTCTCTGGAGCTCTGCTTCCCTCATCTGTAAAAAAACCAGCTTTGAAAAACTCTTTAAAATCCTTGGTTAATGGTGTTGAATGAGTGGCACATGAAAAATATTAGCTATTTGTAGAATAAACCTGATGTAAATAGATTGTGATTAAATAAAAAATGTTTTAGTAAACTTCACTATCTATTCTTCTGAAATACAAACTCTTTCATTTTAATAGGAGAATCTGCCATTCAAAAACATTAAAGGGAGGAGTGGATGACACAGCTTGAAATAACCATTTTCATACGGAGCAAAAAGCAAAGCCATATATAACATTCTATACATACTTTGCACAAAAAAGACTGCATCTGCCTTTCCACATCCACAGAAACCTCAGAAAATCTGCACCATATATTACTTAGAGGTGTTAGCATGCAATTATACTTTCTCCAAAGAAAGAAAGGGGTGGTAAGAATGGGCATGAATTCATTATTTTATTACAAATGAAGCATAGCACAGATTTAACAGGTGGATTAATTTTCAGAGAGTCAAGTCCGAATTCTGGTTAGGTGAGAGAGAGAAAAAAAACAGTTGTATCTTCAACAGAAAACCAGCAATACTGTAACATGTGACAGTCCTTTCCAGGACTTTGGCACAAAGTTGTCAAAATGAAAGTGTTCAAGACGTGTTCACAGAAGGCCCAAAACTAAACTTGCAGGACAATTCCCTACTTACCGCTGTTCATAAACCTATCTGAAAAACCTTCTGCTTTTCCATATCGTATCATTTTATATTTTGTTGCAGCTAATGCATGATTATTTCATTGTTTAAAAGCATAATACAAATTTTTAAATTAAGAGAGCTGATGTAGGTAATAATTGTGAAATGTATCAAACAATGACAGCAAGTTTTATCATTATAGACTGAAGTTGCAGAATATTTTCTTGCTCATTCTACACTTAATTTCCCAATGAATTAAAACATGCACAACTATCTGAAATATCACCGTTGCTCTCTGGAAATTCTACGTAAGAAAAATCTGTAGGGTACTTTCCAAGCCACAAGAAGCCACACATGTTAAAGGTTAGAACTTGCAAACTCTTCAAAAGAAACATTTTCCATGAGTAGAATTTCTGTTGGATAAGCGACATAACAAGGTATTGTTAGACTTCAAAGATTATAGAGGAAAGAATCATATTATGAAATTTCCTGAAAACTTCGCCTCTTTTTCATCAGCTTTTACAAAGTCTCACCAACATTGCCTGTTGCAGAGGTGACTTCAAGTTTTGTTTTCATTTTAATTAAAGCTACTATAATTTAGATCAAAACAGTAAGTCTTAAGAGTCTTAACTCCATTTTTTATTCCGGTCTGCCACACTCAAGGCGAAAAAACAAAACTGACAAAATAAACTGAATTTCTACGCTTGTGTAAGCGTAGAACTAGTCTCAATAGACTGCTATACACTCCTGACACGAGAAGCTGCTGAGTGTTCTCCGTTTACTACTGAAGCAGGAAAATCTGCAGAAACTCTCTCATCTTAAACTAAAAGGATCCGCAACAGCAGCATATCGTGTATCATTCAGAAAAAGATCTCCAAAAGTGCAGGCATTAGTTACATCATGAGCTATATAATCTGTCCCTACTTAAATGATATCAAATAACAAAAATTTGATTTCATCAAAATATGGTTTTGAAGACAGAAGCCTAACCAGAGTTGGAGAAAGGAAAGAGTCCTTCCCCCCACGCGAGCTAAAGCCTTAAAACTACAGGATCACCTCTCCTTAGGTTCTCCCCTTCCTATTTGCCATCTCCAGGACTTCAGCAGATCAGGCTCAAAACATTCTCAAAGAGAAAAGAAGAGCTGGGAAAAAAAAAGCTGACAAAAATTCTTGCAATAGCTTTCAAGACTTCTTCATCTACAACACATTATGGTGATTAGGCCCTATCTGCCTGGCCAAGTACCCATTTATCTAAGGTTTACCCCACAGATTTTATCAAAATCTAACACTACTGAACCATTTATGTAAACAGTCCTTAATATTAAAATTGTCCAGATTAGAAATCTCCTTGATTTACACTGCCAGTGTCAAAAGTTACTTCAATTATGTCTGAAGTCTAACAAACCTTACAACAAATTTCTCTATTAGTACTTTTAAAAAAAAACTCTACTGGAAAACACAGAGATGAAATTCTACAATTCTTAGCACAGACTTTAGCTCAACTCCCACTGCTTAGTAAGCTGTCAAGAGACGTGGAAGCCGTTTATGCAAAGAAACCTACACGATTTCTTCCATGGAAACCTTCCACGGAGTGCTACGGAGGTATTAGAACTGCAAGTACCACCTAGCCCTGTTGCAGTTCTGACTACTACTAAATTGTATGCTTAGGAACAAGTTTGTCAAAGCTAAGAAGTGCCAGCATTTACTTAGCAAAATAAGAGTTTAGTTTTCAGTAAGTTTACTTGTAAAATAAGGTTAATTTAAAAAAAAAAATTAGGATGAGCCCTCTGTCTCCAACTTCTACAGCATAGTTCATAATTCACTGCCCATCCTTACCTTGAGGAAATAAAATCAAATGGGTCTAAGACGCCCCTAAATAAAGTCAGTCATAGGAGACTGGAGAAATGAGGGGGGCTGGATGAAGAGGTCCCTGGTTCCAGGTGGAGGCGTTCTCTGTTTGCCAGTTGCTACACATTGAGCTAACTGAGAATGAGATCCACAAGCAAGGCAGAAATATAACCACAGGCATCCAGTTCTTCAGTAAAGGTACCGATCTGCTTCAGTGATGTGGGGGAAAGGAGGAGAGGTTCACCAAATCCTTATCCCTACTGCTTTTCAATCTCTATTTTTTACCAGAGAAGGGACAGGTGGGCCCAGGGAGTCCAATTAAAATGGACAACTGTTTTTCCTGGGGTAGATAGGAAAGGCAATAGAAGGAAGTCCATCAGTCCATCACACATGACTTAAGAGGCTGCGAATCAATGACAATTCCACTTAGCCTGTCAGGAAGCACAAAGCTTGCACTGAAGGCGAGGCTGTAGACAGACTATAGCTCACAAAAGCACTGAAGACTCATCTGCACATCTCAATAGCCAAATGGAGGACAAATTAACAGGGTAGCTTGTGACATGTTCCTCATTTCCCAGGTACCACATTATACCTCTTGACACCAAATCAGGTCACTGGTCAGAAAAGCACAGCCTGCCTGAGCCATCCTTAATTGGCTGCCTGCAGAGATCATGCCTCATACGTATTGAGCAGAATGAGTGCTAAACCCAGCTATTTTGAACCACTGTCGCTACTCAGAGCACAGCCCATGTTTGGCCAAAAGCCTGGCCAATCTTACAAACAGCACTGCTTTGGAAGGTTTCAGCTCTGCTAACAAGCAGGCGGGACAATTCTAGTGCCAGCCATCTGTTAGCACTGGATCTATCCTTTTTGCAGCTTATATACAGCAACTCCTGGTCCAGCTACATATAACAATTTAAAACGCGCATAAATGCTTCCAGAGAGCATTAGAGAGAGGAGACTGTAAAAGTTTGTCTCACTGTAGGCTCTATCCAAGACAAACTTTTAGACATCTCAGGGTATTACCCTTTGTGATGGTATTTTATGTGCGCTGACCCAGCATTCGCCTGAGCAACAGTGATGACAGGTTGACGGTCCCTAGTTAAGCACTGATCTTACCTACCATCATTGATTTCAACAAATTTGTCATTTTGATTTTTTTCGGAAGATTTCTTACTCTTTTAGTAAAATATGCACGTTTAACAAAATATGCATGCGTTGCATGATGCTGAGTTTCCCATTTAAGCTTTAAATTTGTTCAGTGCCAATTCAGAACAGAAACTTATAACATCTGTGACTGGAACATTGTGGTGCATTTCTTGGACAGTTTTCTATTTGTAAGTTTTTGCATAGAGGGACTATACTATCCTGAACGAAAAGCATTTAACGCCCAAGGAAAGAAGTTCATGCGACCTAATACCAAAGGGTACAATAATACGCAACAACTAAATACATCATATCAAACACAGCTAACTCTATCAGCTACATGCTATCGTAACAGTCACACAATGTAAAGCACTACCTTACAATGTCAAGGCGTCAAACTACATGAGAAGCTTTAGGAAAAATGGCATATCTGTACCAAAGTATTGCCTGTATCTGGAGACTACTGCACTGTGGCTAGAACAATGACTTGCACGCTAAATGTAAATGTTTGCAACTTATACAATACCCTATTTCCTATCTTACGTGCTAAAAGCAGTTGCAAACACATTATCCAGAACTCATTACCACTGGGTTCCTGGAAAAAGTAATGCAATGAATCCCCAAAGATATAGCCTCTATTACATATAATGGATGCGCTTAAGCGGTTCCTGAAAAAGGCCAGCAAGCTCAAATAACAGCCTCAGACTTTTAGGTAACATGTCTCCATGCAAAACTTGGTTCTTATCAATCTGACCACAGAGGAAGAAAGTTTCAGACTCTTCAAGATAACCAGAAAGAGAAAATTATTCAAGATAACCAGAAAGATTTTTTGCTAAAAAAAAAAAAAAAAACTATATAGCTAAAAATCAGACAGAGGTTGGTCAGGGATGAAAAAAAACTACTGAGAAAACCTGTTTTCACACACAAACACCAATGCTATATAGGTCCTATGCTGCAATTTATTAAGCTGGCTTTCTTTCTCACGCTAACTATCCAAGCAAAGTGCCGCAGTAGATCACCTCAATGAACTTTTAGCTGCTGATCTTGCAGCTTTATATATGTAAAATTATTTCTACCAGCTTAATAAACTGATGCACACTGATCCTGCTAACGAGTCTCGGTGAAACAGTGACTTTTTGAAGACAACGTTATCTTACTGACATCAGCGTGATATATCAAAAGAGCTCTTCCTACGCCTTCTGCCATAAGTTATCATGCTATCATTCTGTATCAAGAGCAAGAAAAGGAAATTTCTGATATCACATATATTCTTGCCTGCAAGTACAAATACAACATTTAAGAAATTCAGGCCAAAGGACAGTGCATATTAGTTTATTGCACGTTTGCACAGTGTAAGCCAAGCTACAAGCACATAACAAGTGCAGGGAAGGAAGAAAAGTTGGTTGTTGTTTTGTCAAAGAAAACGGTCAATAGCAGAAAAGTAGCACAAAGGAAATACCTTAAGATCTCGCCTTTCCAGATGTAAAAGCTCAGAGCCTCGGATGTCATGGCTGATGAAGATTTCTTTGTACTCTCCCAAACTGAGCAGATCCAGCCAAGCAGCAACTTCATCTGTGCCCCATTTTTGAACTACCAAAGTTAAGAGCAAAACCCCCTTAATTTCTACATGCTCAAATGCATTACAAGCAAAGGTTAGGCCAAAGAGAGTGGAAAACAGAGTAGAATTGCCGTGCTAGCAAAGGCAAAGGTTAGAGGTGTCATTTCCACAAAAACTGACAATTTCCTTTTTACATGCAGGTTATAGGTTAGCAATTAACAGGAGAAAGTATCTAAACAAAGTTGGGGTTCTTTGCTTTGCAGCCATGCTTTCAGCTTTACTCCAGTTTCTTCAATAAAGTCTTTAAAACCTCATGTCCCACAAATTCAGATTAAACCACTTTAGGATCAGTAACGCAAAGGCTAACGTTGTTCTTCTTTATACCATTAATTTATTAGTAGTCATCCGGGGAGAGGAGAAGCCTTCAAAAACTAATCAACATGTACAATTAATATATAAACCACACCTCAGATATGGCAATGGCAGCAAGCAAGTCTATTTTTAACTGAAACTTTCCAGTATTCTTAATCAATGCAACAAGTACTCTTTAAGCTCCTGTGTTAACACAGGCCATTAATAAGTTCTCTGTAAAACATTGTTCTCTAAGGTTAGTTGCCCACATTAGTCAAAGACAATAGAGTTATGCTATCACAATTGCTACAATTTTGCAACTCTATTCAATACTGGTTAGATTCACAATGTAGTGAAATCTGAAGTCTAATGTGAAATCTAATCAACAACTGCAAGATTTTGCATATTTCGACCTATTTCCCATTAAAAATACCAAGATGTAGGAACAGTTTCAGGACCATCTGACCACTGATTAACTCTTGGATGCAATCTTAAAGGAAGTAAGTTCGCAGATAACAGTGGGAAGAGAGGAGAGTGGAGTTTGTTCAAGTTCGACTAATTAAGAGATCAGTACTGACTATCGTGGCTTTTTGTTTGCTCTGTCTAACTAACCCTAAAAACCAATTTCTGTTTAAGGATAGCTGGTTAATTAAGCTAGTGTGATAAAAGCTATTGCACAGCTTCTCAAACTAATCTGAAAAACATGAGTTGGAGCTTCACAGGGAAACAATGTGTTTACATATGGTTTGTGTTGTTCTGAGTTAATTAAATTTAACCACCAACCAAGACCCAGGTCTTGTTTCCTGATGAGACAGTAATTATATAAATCTTTGCAGTATTTCTTTGGTTCACCTGAAAGTCTTGGGGTCCTACTGAATCATGCTTTCTAAATGCACTGAAAAAATACTCTTCCTAAGGAAATGCCAGTTCAGTTGCCTTTCACTTTGGGTCAGGACTTTATTCGTCAGTAGAGTATATCATTTCAGCTCTTACAAATACATAAAATCACATTTTCCCCAAATACTATTTTTCTTGCAATGTCAAAACACATACCAGGCTGAGGGCTGGTCTTATGCTTCTGGACTTTTTCTTTTTTAAACTTTGGCACTATGCGAAACACTGTACTTCTGTTGTTTCTCTTAGCATAATCCAGAGGGGGATCCTACATGAAAGGACAGACATAGTTACCTTTAATCAACTGAAAGCAACAAGGTTCAATTCTATACTTGAGAAGGTAATGCACAGTTAATCTCAAAGATTAAGATCAAATTTTTCCTCTGTAAAGTAGGAGGTCAGGATTTAGCTCTATATTTGTTTCTTTTATTAAATAACCATTAAATACCTTTAAATGCAGAAAAAGAAATAAAACTGAAAAAGCCCTAAGCTTAAAAGCTTGCTCACAGCAGACAGAAGGATCCGGCACTATTACTGAAATTGCCTCTCCAGATTGTGAGGGATTCTAACTTACTTTCACCTATTAAATGAAAATTAAGTTCAATTAAAAACAGAAAGTATTAATCAGACTCACCTCATCATCATTTGGTTGAAAAACATAATAAAGCCAAGGAATCTCAGCAAGCTTTCTCAACTCTATTTCCACACTGTGCAAAGCATCAGACAACAGCTCTTCATGGGGAGCTTCTAACTGCTGTTTATTAAGAGGTCAGAAAAATAACATTAGTAGTACTGTTAACGTATAACGTTTAACATAGAGGAGCTGTTACCACACAAATAGATGATTACTTTGCAGTGAATGTTAACAAACAGTGAAAACAAATAATCTTACCTAATTGCATCTCCGAAGGAAGATGTATCAAACCACCCTGACACTACGTTTAGTATGGTCCCAACCACAAAGGGATTACCAAGCCAGCTGAGACTTTGGGTGAGGAGCTAGCTGTCAATCACTGTCATCATTCACCATACTCCTGAGTCTTCATACCCCAGAAGTGATCTGATAACATCATTACACTAGAAGTGTGAACTTCCAGTAGAAGGGAGATAAAAACTCACTAGAAGAACAACGGCCTGGAAATTCTTGGCATGAAAAGCAGTCTAAAAAACTTTGATAGACTTTGGTAGTATGACAAAGCCCAAGTCACCATTTGCAAATTAGTTCATATGACGGATAACTCTTTTCCAGTCAAGGAAGAAGACATAGATCTTGTGCCTTACCCAAATCACTCCATTCCCAAAGGCTTTTCAATGATACAGTGTCTGTGCTACTCCTTCTGAAGAGGTGAGACATGGAGTGGTAGCAACCACTGCCAGAGGGAGCACTGGGTATAAAGTGTGGAAGAGGGACAAGTATGGCAGCCGCAGAAGGGGAGAGCCCTCAGGGAAGGGGTAAAGAGGAAAAAAAGAAAGTGGTGGTAACGTAATGATGGCTTGAGCCATGTGAATTTGGCTCTATTAACACATGGTGGTGTCAGTTTTCCTTAAAATCCTAGTCTGAAAAAATCCTAGTGTTCTACAGCTGCAGTGAGAGTCGAACCTGTGAAGAAGGGGACAGACAGGCAGCTAATCCACAAACAGCAAAGCAGTTTGGGGCTTGTCTGGGGCTGCTGGAACAGCATTTCGAGGCAAACAGTTGAATCCCAGAATGAGTTGCATGGAATCACTAATAAAGCAATCTGAACACCCATTTCTCTCTTTGAGGTAAAAGGAGTCCCAAAGCAGTATAGAATATCCTTTTGAAAGGATCTAATGAAGTTATATCGTAATGAATATATATTTTAAATGAAGTTGTAAGAGAATCTTTGATCTTTAGTGCTTGATACTGTTGGGTTTTGGTGATAAAGCTTCAGTGGTTTGTACATGATAACCTTTCCTGAGGAGAGAGAATTTTTAGTAAGATATTGCTGTTTAGAATAGTAATATTGGAAATATAAGCTCCCTCTTGCTATAGCATTCATTTCTCTTCTAAAGTTCTCAAAATTTAGGGAGAAAATTCAATGCCCATAGCAGACTGTATTCTTTCTCTTCCCTTCCACTTTTTCAGCTTGAACAGTTCAGTTAATTACACAGAATCACAGAATCGTTTAGGTTGGAAGGGACCTCTGGAGATCATCTAGTCCAACCTCCCTGCTCAAGCAGGGTCACCTAGAGCATATTTCCCAGGATCACATCCAGACAGAATTCTGAGCACAGGGGAAGACTCACATGTCTTTGAAGAAGTTACAACTTCTCTTGTGTTTTCATTTTTTAAAAAGATTTCTGAATTATTCAGTTTTTACACAAATGAATGAAGCAAAATTCTCTTTCTCAACAAGCACTAATCTAAGTGCTTGATTCTCAAAGGAAAGCATTTTGCTTGGGGATAAAAAAAAAAAATCAATGAACTCTCATCTCATGGCAAGAAAGTGTACACACAGGTAATATTGCTTCTGAAAAAAAAAATAGGAAAACAAAACAGTAGTGAAATTCTGGTAAAGGAGGAGTTAGCAATTCAGTGTAAATTGTCCTCCTAGAACATCTGGGAAAAGCTTCCTATTTCCAAGATGAAAATTAACACTGTGAATGAAGCATTGACAATAAAGGGTTTTTTTCGGTTCTTTCTCACTTCTCCCTTAATACATTGAAATCGCAGCTCTGTTTTAGAGTGCAAATGCTTTTAAAGAGCAAAAATTGAAATGGTGCATTTGGAAAATGTCCAGACAAAAACACAATAACATTTCTCTTTTTTCAAAACTGTATTCCAGCCACAACTATCTGGGATATTCCAAAGATGAGCTTCATTGTCCCATCTAATCATGTCACCAAAAATGGCACTTACAGCTAAATCACCACTTGATGTCACCTAGCCGTTGTATTAACTTTTTTAGTCATATCTTACAGGAGGCTACAGGAATCACAGTCTCCTTCTATATGTATTTACATTTCTTTCATCTGCTTCAGAAGCCAAAATGGAGAGTTGGTAAACGGCAACCAAAGAAAAGGCTTACCAAGTAGCATATGCAACGAAGGCATCAACTTACAGCTACCAGAAGCTTTGATCACAGAAGAGAAGGGTGAGGGAGAATTGAAGAGGCAAAAAAATAAGAGAGGAAGATACTAAAAAAGAATATTTTTCTTTGTCAGAGGAAACATAGTTTGGAGAACAGCGTATGACGGCAGCAGCTGATAGATCAAGCAACACCTTACGTTTCATCTGTCTCCATTTTCATAGACTGAGGGACCAACATACATGTAGTTTCATCATTTTATAAAATGCATGCCAGTAAGGCTGCCTGGGTGCCTTGTTATTGTGACTTTAAAATACAGTGCTAAACAAGCATAATGTCAAATGAGTGTCAATGAACATCTCTGGAAGATATCTAGCTATCTTCTAACAGCCTTGTTATTAAAGAATGAGTTTGATGTAGACTGATGAAGACATTTTCACAGACTACAATGAGAAACAGAAGAACAATATGTAAGAATCAGAAATGTACAAATAAATCAAATTAGGCTTTGGCGTCTGATTAAGGGACTAATTCAACAATGCAGTGAGACCACAGCTGGCTGTAGAAAAGGCAGTGTTTCAGTGGGAAGATTTTCATAATAACATCACGTTCTAGACTGCCTTGACAAATCATACTTGTCCTAGTATTGCATCACCAGCTCGAACCTTTTCTTCTAATTCCTCTTCCCATACTATTTTAAAATTAAAATAAATTTATCTATTTATTTTCTCCATTTTGATTCCCCATTAACTCTGAAATGAGGGATTAATAATGATCAGTAATAACAATCTCTACATTTTTCTTTTTTCTTGGACAAAATCATCTAATGAATAACTTTCCTCTTTAAAAATCCATAAAATATATCATATGAGCCTAACCTTTGACTACTTTTAGAACTTAGCAGTTATAAGCCTTCAGACCATACTAACTTTAGATTACTCTAGGACAGACTTGTACTCTCTGTCACTGGTGTAAAAGGGTACCTGAACCAGCACCAGTAAATTTCATACTCTAACTCACTCAAATGAAAACATTCCTATTGATATCAATTTGTAATTATAACATTGAAATCAATAGTAAGTTAGTAATAAGTTTGCTTCTGAATCCAAAGAAAATACAACTGTTCCTACTGAGAATCTTTTTAATATCAAAATTGGACCAGTACAGAAAACCCAATATCTTTCTTCTCTTCACAATATAGGAATTTTCTAATAAGTTCAACAATTCTTAAGCAGTCTTCCACAATTTTTGACATAGAAACACTTGCAAAGGGAGGAGATGCAAAGACTTCAAGTGCCATCAGAGGTAGGAGCACCTAGTGATTAATGGTTATAAGAGACTTCCTGCCAGGTATTAGAACAAGGGTGAGATTTCCTTGCCTAAATTAGGTCTGTAGAAGTTGAATGTATGAGTCTCTTTATTAAACTAGTCATGCCAGGTTCTCTTTAAACTCTGAAGATACGTAGTGGAACATCAAAGGTTCCCCTAAACACTAAGTCTCCAGAAGATACTTATCTTTAAGATAGGCCTCCCAGATAGGTCTGGGTGAATCACCCTCTGCAGGGTTACTTATTTCTCTCCATGGGTTATTAAAAAGAAGAGCCCAGGCAATGAGCTCTCAGATATCTGAAGTGAGGTGAGATGGTTGCCAACCTAGGACAACAATTCATAATTAACTCCAATTCAACTTACAAATGCAGTGTAATATCCTCCGATTGGCCTTACAGAGCTGCAACAGCATGTCATAAATTCTGTGTTGATCTTTTAAATCAGCACAGAGTGTGAAGAACAAATCATTTCTAGTTTCAGTGAAGGAATGAAAACAAGAATTTTGTCACCTTACCAAAGGAACTCTTCCTACTAGCAGAGATTCAGTTTCATTATGTAGGGCCTTCACGTTGACAGCTATCTCCATGGCAGTGTTTCTGGTAAGACTCTGGAGAATAAGAAGGATAACAATCATTTGAAGGGATGCAAGTCAGATTGAGCAAATGTACTCTGGGTTTATGGTACACAGCTGAAGGACCCTCTCCTAGGAGAAATATGTCAGTCAAGCTCTATGTTGACAAGCTAATCCACTCAAATGAAAGACAACCACCACAAAGCACAATTCACAAGTTGAAATCTGTATTCTTAGATAAACCTACAACTGACCGTGTGTGAGGATATCTCACCTACTTATCTGGAGACAAAACACTCCCTCTAAGTCTTTTGCAGCACTAAGACCGGAAAAGGAAAACTTACTATTTATTTACTGTCTTTTCCTCCACTTCATTTAATATGACCTGATATACCCTTGAAGATTGTGTGTCCAGACACCTGTGAGATTACCATATTTATGGTTGGCAAAGACCAGTAGAAATGTTGCAGGCCTCATTTAGTAAAGCTTGTCAATCTGAATTGTTCACATTATTCGTAGAAAAAGTAAACTGCTAGCTGTATTTTAAGAAGAAAGGGTTAGCTAGCATATTTACCATGGTGGTGAATGACTAGGTAAATTTACGTTAAATAAAACTATATAGACAGACTCTACCTGATTTATCATCTTTGGGTCCAGCCTCTGAAAACACCCAGATCGTCTAGTGTAAAGAGAGAAACCATCAAACTCCGTTTTCCCTTGCTTTACATTTTTCTGGGTAACACTACATCTAAGCACGAAAGGAGGTGAAAATTTGTTATGAATGCATCCACTTTGATTGACCTGTTATTTTTATATATGTGTGTGCGTGCGTGTTATGTATATACATACACATACATATGTGTAATATATAAAGTATATATGCAGCTATACCATTTGTTCAGCTTTGTCATGCCTCCACCCTATGTCTGTGCACATGCCTATGTGGTCTTCTACAAGTAGATATGAACTTACTTTGCCTATTTTCTTTGCTCTTTGCTGACATGAGTTTGGTTTACTCATGCTCAGAGCCACATTAGTACACTGCGCTTGATTTAATAAGCGCTAGTGCATCACTTCAGGATGAGCTGCCCAGGCAGTGGCACTTCCATTACAGACAGAGCAAGTTCTTGACTGCTTCCAAGAGACGACAGACATACTCTTATCATGCCCCGATCCAAACTCTATCTCCCTTTTGGCTGTGTGCTCCCCCCTTCACAAAAAACAGAAACTCTGCATTTTCACTGTTGTTAATGTCCCTTTCTAACCTCCAGTCATCACAAAAGGTAACATCATTGGGGAGGACAGGAATGAATGCAGAAACTGCATCTTTTGCCTTCTCAGATGTCACACCCTTGAAGATCAGGAGGAGACTGTTTTGCCTCTTCAGTATGAAGGCAGTTCTTCTAATTCCCATTCCTAGTATTATTAATAAATTTCAGAATCATGGAGCATCATCTCTACCAAATTCATCAGGTACAGGGTGTTTCCATAAGCATGTGAAGAGCTGAGACTTCCTGCTACTACACAGGGCAGCACCTTCAGAATTGGAAGCAACTTTCTCTTTACCTCCACCTTTGATAATATGGCAAAAAAGGGAGAAGATACAGCACCTATTCATCCATTAAGCAACTTCACTTTAAATTAGAGTATGTGTATGCATAGTTGGGAGTCTTGATTATCAAAAACTTCAAGAATTATCATCCTATTTGGTATAATATGGGGACAGGGAGTACAGAATAGCTCCTGTATCACAACTTTAAGGCAAACACATAGTACAGTTTATTAACTTATAAGGAAATCTCTGTTCTTCCTTTACCTCAGGAAACCTTGGGTTGGCTTTATTTAATGCATGAGAACATGCATTGACAGCATGAGCAAGCTCCTGCTCCAAGAGGCCATGTACTTTTGCTGCTTCACAGATTCTACAAAAAGATGAAAAAGAAAAATATTTCTTACTGTATTTACAGAGTAATTCTTAAAGTACCTGATATTATCAGATGAGAAAATATACAAAGATGTGTTTCACAAAACACTTTAATGAGTCCTAACTATAGTTCTTTATAACAAAAGTTCAAATGCTCAACAGAGCACCTCATATAAACGATATTCATACTACAGAAGATTTATTATTGTTATGAAATACTAAGATACATGTATTTCTCTTAAAGCAAAATTGCCATGCAAAAATTATACAAAAATTGCGGGGCTACTAATTCATATAAACCTTAAAAGAAAACTCCAGTACAGTAAGATAACTCATATCAAGTTACTTAAGAAAAATTACACCTGTTTCACAAAGCATATCACGAGAAGTTTAAGAACTCCTTTAGATTCAACATTAAAATTGACAGCAATAGTTTGAGATTATGAGAGGTCCATTTGTAAATGAACAAATTTTAGAACAGCAAAGTTTTTAAGGTGTCTTGGCTAAACTTCATTTTGGGTAAATTATAACCTAAATTATTCTTCCTTGCCTACTTAAGTCACCACTACAGTATAACAAAAATACATATTTCTTCAGTTCCTTTCTTATATTGTCAGTGCTACTAAACAGGCATTCCAAGAATTAATTCTGAGGCTTAAGATCATTCATCATGATGATGAGCTGAATAGCAGCTTTATAAAATGTTTTGATTTAGAAAGATCTTTTCTTAAAGAGTAAGGTTTTCTTGCGAAAATTAGAGTCTCTTCTTTATTTTAAAAAAATTTGCACTTCAGGGAGAAAGTAGTCCTTGAAGATAAGCAAGGTTCTGGGATCAGTTTTGTAGCAGCAGCTCACTACCTTCTCAACAAATGTAAACTGCTGAGGTGTTCGGGGCTACAGAAGTGTTAGGATTTTGACTGTTAGTAATTAAATAGAAAACTGCAATAACAATGAATGAGTGGATGAATGCATAAAGATGAAATACTATCTGGCAATCTGAGCTCCCTGAATGTGGGTGTTGTAACTATTTCTGCAATATTTAAGAAAACTTTCAGGCTCAGTGAAAACTGTGCATCTTTTTTTCAAAGTGAATTACAAGTCTTTATGGAGAAATTAAAAAAAGGCAGAGGAAGCAGTGACGGTGGAACAGGAAAGTCAACAGAAGAAAAGATTTGGCAGGTCAAATCTAGAAGAGGAGAATATTTCAAATATTCAAAAAAAAAAAAAAAAACCCTGAAAAACAAGAAGCATTAAGCACCTGAGACTCATCTGTCACAATGAGACATCTGCAATGCAGATGCCTGCACCTGACCCAGTCATCATGATTTCCATTATAACCAACAGAGAGAAACAGAAAATTCCAGGACACAGGCACCTCTTGTAAAGGGTGCATCTAAAACGGATCAAATGCATAGGGGGGTCTAGAAATATCTTTTCACTGACTATCCAGGGAGTCTGGCATTACTAGGTCAAATGGATACATCCACATTGTTGACTTATAAAGTTGATGTATTTTTGCTTTTGTATAAAATAACATGTTTCAAACAAAAACCTCTCTGAAGAAAAACTTGCTGTTTTTCTGTTTCCGTTACTCCTTCAAAAAGTCAGTTTTTAGTAGAAAAAAATTCTGAACAGCTACATACATAAACAAGTTAAGCCTCAAAAATCTAAAATCCAAGAAAATCAGAAGACTAATAGAGTGACAACATTAATCAAAAGATGAGAAAAATATACCCTTTTAAGGCTATGTATGCATTTCTATGAATAATTCAGTCCTTGTGTATAGACTGCCAACCCAAACTTATTAATTTTACTGTACCTGGTAATAAGCTCTTCTGCAGCTTGAGAGCACAGCTGGATCTGTGCAACTTCCTCTTCTGTAGCCAACTCAACAGCCTGTTGAGGGTACAAGGGAGATCGAATGACAGGTTTACAGGAATCATACTTCTGTTTGTCTTCCCAAGACTTCAGGGTGTTTTCAAAAGCCTAATCAAAATGAATTATACATTCAGTTCATAGCACTTCCAATATTTACTTGTTTACATATATACATTGATATAGATATTTCTATTTTATGTATTTGTGTGTATATATGTATGCATATAAAAGTATGTGGAATTATATGCATTTTTACATATATAACACAAGCTCTATACATAATGACATGACACTTCATTTTTCAAACTTAATATAGAGAATAGGTCACTTCTAAAAGCTGTCTCTCTCCCCCTCATTCTCAATAAATCTTTTCAAAACCATAGAAACACAAAGAAAAGACTATAGACATATTTTGTGAGGATAGGAATTTCCAAATCAGAAAGTTTAAATCTAAAAAAAATATATAAATTTAATAAACAAGTAGTTCAAATGCTATTAATTCCAGAGTAAATTCAACATCCAGTTAGGATAGAGAACTGAGGGGCAGTTAAGCCTTTTATGCCATAGTCCTGGAGAAGCATGACCTCTCCAACGGCTGCGTGACGAGATTCTGCTTGGGTCCTTCCTTTTTGAGACTGTGTCATGGGGAAGAGGGAGGACTAGTAGGACAGAGACAGAGGAGAGAAATCTGCTAATCAGTATTCTGAAAAATGGAGATTTTATAACTTTGCCACTTCTGGAATTGTGCTAAAACTTCCAGTATGTGACTGCATATACACAGCATGCTTCAGAGAAAAACTATCAAATTTTGACCGTTATTCCTCTTAGTATGTTAGTAAGAATCTAGGAATAGCATTAATTAAACTGATAAAAGTTAACAAAGGTCTGAGCCATTTATGTGAATGAACAATTCTCTACCAGACTTATTATATAAATTATATAATTATAAATAATTATATAAAGCTATAAAACTTATTCTATAAGCTCGGATTTTTTAATGTTGTAACTGAACCAAATTACTACAGAAAGCAACATTATAACAAAGGTATCTCATAACACACTCTCTGCAACATACTCTGTCTCGTGTTAGCATCTGAGCTCTGTTTTTATGTATAATTTTTATAACACCGGGGGGCTGGATCCATGCCTCTCCATCCACTTGCACTGGAACCCCTTCATCACCAAGTATGGTGATCTTTACTGACCGACACTGGAAAAGAACAAACATGTTATTTTACAGAGCAATAAATATTAATGAAACTGACAGTCCACCTGAAATATGTTGATTACTAGGAGCTGTGGCTTCCCTCCAGGTTTGTCTCAAGGATGAAGCACTTTAATAGTTCATTCATCACGCAAGACAATTTGTTACCCGCTAAAATTAAAACAATGTCAACACTTTATTAATGCATAGGGCAGTGGTCATCTAGAGTATCACTACTCTCCAGCAACCCAAACCGCTGCCAGCTATGTTGCGTGCTTCCAAAGGAGAAACAAACCTGAGCGATCCTGTGGTGCTGTAGTTTGATGACTCTTGAAACTGCCATCTGCATGCTGCCAAATACTGCAACAACTTCTAAGATTTTATCATCAAATGATGGGGCTCCAAATATCTGAAAGAAAAAAAATAATCCATTTTTGATGGTAAACCTATTGCTTAGCTCACATGTTAAACGAAACGTGAAATCAGCCTTCTTTTCTGTGGGTTCAACTCCAGATTCACTTTCAATTCTTAAATGCTCTGTTTACTGTAGAATAATTACACTGTCTCTCAAAAGTCAAAGGAGTGCAATATCGTAGATTGTAGATGGATGTTATCTTAAAGGGGTAATAATAACAGCATTTCAATTATCTGAATGACCAGGTATAATATCCTTAGATGGCATATTTCAGCATGCAGACTAGGATATGTTTTTCAACATAAGACGAAAAGACTATTCAAATCTCCACTTCATCACTGCACTTAATATGTAAGAGGTTCTTAAGTTATGAAAAGTAATGTTGCTTTTCTCTTCTTAGAAATGTTTCTCTTCTTATGTTCTAATTCTCTGGAAACCAATATCAGAGTCCACGCTCTGCGCTATTAAATGCTGCTTTAATACTGAAGAGAATCTCATTTGCTGTAAACATGAACATTGCTTTTATATACAACAAACGTCCTGATCCAGCCAAGACTTTGGATTTCTGCAAGCTCATGCAAAGCACATGACATGCCATTGCCACCTGGTGTCCTGCAGGGGAATTTAGTCATGCCCTGGGGAAGTCTTTGGCTGGAGTCTGACTGGCACAAAGGCCCAGTAGGAGATACCATAAGCCCTAAGGTTACTTGAAGCTTGACCGTTTCATCCCGATTATGGAAAAGGGAGCAATGAGGGAGAAAAATCAGCAGGAGAAGTCACTCTAGTAAGATTTTAAAGGGTAGAGTTGCTCAGACCACCTCAAAGGACACCATGGGCCGAGTCCCTGAAAGGAGTTGAAAAGCTGCAACTAGTTGGGGCCTATCCAGAAAGGCCTTTAGAGAGGATCTCCTGGGGGTGAAAAATAAGAGGGTGCAGATCCAGAATGGTGTAATCTAGACAGTGGCCGCAGCAATGGCTCAGGGAGAGGATGGGGAAGAGAGTGAAGTTCGTTGGTCTTCACTGCCCCTCAAGTCGGGGAAGCCCTCAGCCCAGCACAGTGAGCAGTGGCTTTGGCCAGGAGACCATGGAGGGGCTCGTTGTCAGGGAAGACACCGCACAATGCAGTTACTGTAGATTAATACCATGTTGAGGTTGTCCGGGTCCCCACAGCATCCCAGGTTTGCACAGATCAGTCTTTGACAGCCCAGTGCCAAAGAACGAAAGCGCAATTAAACTTGGTCTAGAGTGTTTTGAAGCAGAATTTTTTTCGCTCTCTAAATTTTTTTCATTTACCATGGGAATGTTTTGAAAAAAGCAAAGACGGTGATTGTGCCATTCCAAGCTGAAAAGTATGGACAGCTCTTGATCCAGTTTATGTATTTTAAAGCTCTACAGCTTTTTTCTGCAAACAGTATTTTAATAAGTATAACTGACATCTACATGACTAGTTCAGCTGGGTTTAAGAAAAAGTGGCTTCAAAAGTTCATTTGTTTTGTGCTTCCATTTTAGTAAGTGCAAGGGCAAACCACAATCCAGTCTTCTGCGTCTCTCCACAAGTAAAATATTTGTGCTGAAAAATGACTGTGTGGGTTTTTTTTTTTAATAAACGCAAAAAAACACTGTAAGTATCAACATTCAAGAAATAACTCCTTCCTTCCCTACTGCATCTCACCACAGGTCATGTTTCCAGCCTGTCCTTTTGAGAACAGAAAAGCATGCTTAAATAAGGCCAGTTCAACTCAGTCAGCATGGGGCTGTCCTGCACCAATAATATCTCAGAAATAATTGCAGGTAACATCTATCTTACATCCAGACAAGCAGAACAAGCAGCATTTTAGACTACTATCTTCTCTGACGATCAGTCACTCAAGATGGCACTAAAGCAGTGAGTTAGGCACCTAATTTTGTCCAGAACAAACTCGTCACTTTGCTGGCAGATCTGATCACCAGAAGACTAAGAGTATCAGTAAAACCGCTCCAAGAAATAGGCATTTGCTGTATACCACTATGACAGCTAGGATGGATCTTCTCTCTCTCTCAGTGAGGGGGCCCAGGGAGAAAAATAAACTCCTGAATAGGAGCTGAGCAGATACGAGAGACGCGTTCAAGCTATGAATGCGAACATGGAGAATATCAAAATGTTAGATATCCCGAGCCAAATATAAACATAACTGCCATGCTCTGACACATAATAAAAATAAGAAAAGGACATCAAAAACTTTTTTAAATTTTTTTGTGTGGTGTGTGTATATATACATATACGCATACATACACAAATAGATATATCTGTATCTACATAAATACACAGAGGATGGTAAGTCAAAAAAACCAAAAGCATTTTGGTGACAAAAATCCTGGATAGTCTACAGTAGAATCACAATCCAATTTGAAGGAGAGTTCTGAGTGATAGTTTAATGCAAAAAAAATATATATATATATATTTTGATTCAGACCTAACACAAGCTAAATCAAGGCTTTCAGAGTTAGGATAATCGTCTAGCAATTACAATTGTTTCACTGCACACAGAGCGGACTGCAACAGCAAGAATCTGCTCTAAGTTGTAAGACGTTTAGGTATCTGTGTAGCGCAATATTTCCAAGAGATGCCTGGACGAAGGGAAAAAAGGTAACTTGACAAAATATTCTAGAAGCTTGTTGAAAATAATATTTAAAAAACAGATTTCTATTCCCACTAAAAGTATTTCATCCACCCTCATTGTCTGAATCACCATCCCTTAGCCCAAAGCTGTTTGAAGAACAGGAGGAAAATTCAGGTATAAACTGTGCGAGTGATTATCCTTACCCAGATTCCTTATTGTTAGAATATAATGAACAAAGGAATCTATGCTTTGGGAAACCTTATTTACAGGAGTTTATAAAACAATGCAGAAGAAGAGAAGATAAACTATTTGTGTTCTTTGTTTATAAGATTAGTTTCTAAAAATTCTATCTCATAGAGCCGCATTTTTTTTAATCATTAAGCCTTATTATGAAAATTTTGGTGAAGTGCAAAGGACATGAAAGAAGGCAACAGATAGTGAAAAATCATGGGATATATTTTCAATTAAAAAGAAAAAAAAATCAAATTCAAGACAACATAGTTTAAACTCAAACAGTAAGAGTGAGTCTGGAGTAAGAGTTGCTATCCGTACTATATGCTAGTACTACTAAAATTAAACGAGAACAGCAGCACATGGAATTTATTGCTGGCTCTGTCATAAGGTTACTTTTCTCTAGTGCTACTCACATCATCTTCTTTGGTTCCACCCCAGAAGTTAGTCCCACCAGCGTAGCTGGGAATGTTTAGCACAGCTATGCCCTGCAGACTTGGAAGGGGGATGTACTGTCCGTCACACTGTAATGGATAAAAGCTCATTCAGTATGTAAGATAAGTAGTGTGATAAAAGTAATCTACCGCTTTTAATACATGAAGCTTCAACGGAGCTGGCAGGGGAGGACAGAGTCATTAACAGTTTGGCACAAGCTCATTCCACCCACACTGTGAGGTAGCTTTGATACAAACCTCTTCTCTTCTCAAGCTCAGCACCAATTCTTATAGAGCTGAAAAAATACCAGTACCTAGGGCAGAGGTGTTACATGTCTCCTCACAGAAACTTTTCCACATCCTGTATTGTGAAATTTCTCATGCACTGTCTATCAAGGATTAGGAATCTTTTTGCAATGAGAAAAGCTGTTTCACTGAGTTTAAACAGTAAGATGAGCACGGACATTACAAAAATCTTCCTTTACCCATTGAATAATTAGACTCCCATCCTATAGCTGCATTTCCAAAATTGCAATATGCTCGTTATTTAGGTAAGTCCATTAAGTTGAAAAAAAAAATTCCAAATACAAGAATATTTCTGGCACAGCAACAAACATAAAGTTAAATATGTATGTTGTTAGTACTTGTAGACTTGGCCTCATGTAAAAATAACTCACTCTCCTCCCAAAAGTACAAAGGTAAATCTAGGACTGAACCCACAGCTGTTTCCCCGGCTGTGGCGGGAAGCTGTTGATTCTGCAGGCAAAAGATAGGTCCTATGACCTCTTGTCATTCAGTAATACCATTTTCGGTCCTCCAAAAAACATAAGCAACTTCAAGTGCTGATCAACATGATCACACATAGCCATACATGCAAACATACCACATATACATACATGTATGTAACCATACATACCATGCAAACCATACATAATCAATCTCACACTACTTATGACCAGAGTAAATTTACTGACTTCAGAGAAATCACTCCTGACTTAAGGCTGCATAAGTGACTGCAGAGCAGAGCTCAATAATTGCAAAGCATTGACCTGGGGGTCAGAAGTGCTGAGACACAGACGAGAGCCCTAGGCAGCTGCTATACATTAGTTTTCCTACCTGCTCATGGCAGTGCCACAAACGTGTATTTGAAGCAAGTAGGGAGGGGAGTATACTGTCACGAGCGTTGGACTCTAGTTTTACTTTGCGACAGTGAATTTAATTTCGTTTAAGAACACTGCTAGATTACCAAAAGTTACAAGTCCCATAGAAGTGTCTTATAATTATATAAATGAATGAGAAATCCTTGGGAAATAAGGAGAAATTTTTTGGTAATTTTATCAGAAGGAGAAAGAGATGCAAAGTATTTTCAGAAATGTGCTCAGTACTGTGGTTTTACGATCTTAGTAACAAGATAGAACTTAAAATTTTAATCAAAATCTGACAGCATCCAAAATGTTCTGAGAGGTAATAGATGCTGCACAGCTACTTGTATTATAGAGCTCTGTCCCTAATTCCTGATATCAATATTTTTAATTTTCCAATGCTGTGCACCTAATCACAGGTTTTAGCATAAGGATGATATTATGCAAGGCAATACTAAATATGAAATCTCTGCTTGCTGGTTTACTTGCAGAAATATTCGAAAATAATTATGGAAAGGTCAGATTTGAATGCCTTATTGAATCTTATTTGAATCTTATTTAAAAGATTCTTAAATTAGAAATCTATCTACACCATACATAATGTTCTTTCCTGTCATTATATTCACTAACTACTGCAAAATTCCTTGATAATTACTCAGTCCTTAGATAACAGCAATATGCCTCTATCATACAAAACCCTCGTAAAGCACAGTGAAGAGAGCTGCAATAAATTAAAATTATTCCCTCAACTTAAAAAGTATCATCATATAAATATCATAAGCTTCCATATGAAATATTTAACATGAAAGAAAAAAGTATATTCTTTTCTGTCAACCCCCAGATCAGATGTTCTTTGGGTGAAAACAACTGTAATTATCCCATGACCTTTCTCTACGTTTGGTAACAGTTTATATCTCCTTTAAGTTCCCAGTATTGTGGAAAAGACTTAGATTTGGTGATAAGAACTTAAAATTAACCACGTTTTAGATAATTTACACTGCATTTGCTGTTGCTACGATACTACCTTGCTTCCCCTGTATGCCTATCTCAAATACATATTCGAGAAAATCCCTACAGATGTAGCTGCACTTCTTGTGAATGCACTTTCAGAACCTGTCCTCTTCTGTCAAGAATTTTTCCTCTAAGATCTTCTGTGTGCTTTCTCTGTATGTATAATCAAGCTTTCAACTAAACCTGAAGGATTTAGACACTTTATCTCTTTCCTTTTGTTTAGTGTACGCATGTTTCTGTTATTGTCCTTAAAACATGGTCTCATCCCTTAGTGTACTGAACATAAAGAAACACATCCTTGCAGTATTAATTATAAAAGATTTATAAAGAAATAAATAAGTAACAAGAAACATTATATTCAGTATTTTGGGATATTTAAGTATTGACATTTTCCCCCCAGCAATCACCTGGGGAATTACCTCTTATATAGCACTTTTTTTACACTGTGCATCTGAGGGCAGAATTATATATTGGCTTGGGCTGACACAAGAACCCTAAAAGGTTTCAAAAGGAACCCCCAATTCTGAACCGTACATTGCAGAAGCAAAAAAACTCATTAAGCTTATAAATCAAAATTACCTCAAGTTGAACTTTTTGTTCTAAGTTCTTGTAAGTCCTCTGCAGTAATTCTTTTGTACCAAGAACTCCATACCACATCATGTTTTTCGTCCGACTTCTGAAAACAGGTAAAATAAGATTTACATACTGAAATACACAGGTTATTATGTCTTGTATTTTAAGGTGAGGAAAAAGTTAAGGACTTCAGATAAAGAGATAAGAAAAGAGTGGACAAATGCCACTAAGAATCCTGTTACCTGCATTTTTCAGGATGCTCTTCTCGCTTGTTATTAAATTCAAGTGAAATTTTTGCATCTAATCCAATTCCAAAGTAGTTATTCATGACACATTTTTCTGCATATCCCTCCCTGTTAGAAGAAAAGAGATCACTAGGTGTGCGTTTGTGCAGTACCCGGACATAACATAGCTTTGACTGAGATTGTGATCGGTTTCAGAACATCAACAAAAGATGGCATGAGATGTTTCCTCTGAATCTCTCCATGGAAACACAATGGCAGCCAAAGAGATGGACTGTCTGCCAAATCCTTCACAAGTGTGAGTTCCTCCCCTTCAGACTGAGAACCAGCAGCAGCACACCCCCCTACCCTAGCACTATCTCAACCAAGCCCAAAATATAGAGTTCTAGCTGTGGAATATGGGAAAAGAGCTGCCCTGGCACTGCTCTGAGACAGCAGCACCAAACTGGGATGAGCACCCAGGCTGCATTTAGGCACACTGGGGCTGGATGGTTGGCCAACACCGTCTGCACATCAACACTTTGCTCCAGAGGACCAACGGAAGGCAGCAGCTCGAGACCCAGCTACCGTCTGTAAGTCTCTGCTGACGCTACACCAGGTTCTGGGAATTGGAAGCAGCTGAGGACACAAAATTTACTCCTCCTCCACCTCACTGCATCACTCATTCGGGGGATGCCTTTGTTCCTACTCCACTCTCTGCTGGGGAGTGCTCAAACCCTGCTTCAATGTCTTGCTGTTCAGTCCAGCACTTCAAGCAGGAAAACCCAGCTTTCAAGCACTGCCCTCCTCCTTCTCTCAGAGCCAGTAGGCAAGGGGGAAGTGAGCAAATTATTTCTGCTGCTGCAATACTGCTCTGCACTATATGTAACGAAGCTCCTATTCTAAAATGGCGCAATGCAATCTATTTTCAGACCTTGAGGTCTACTGCCTAATAAAGCCATGAGTTCATCTTAGTCATTCAAATGATAACAAAATAGAATTTCATGATGAAAAAGAGATTAACAAAAGCTAAAAAAGTTTAAGAAAAGCAAACTAAAAAAGCCCACAGTAGATATGGGAGGGGGAAAAAAAAATCTTACAGTGAATCTGGATCCGGGTCAATAAACGGTGTAGCACCAAATGGATCGATGTTTGCTAGTAACATTTTGCTAATAATCGAACTTCCTGCAATAGAAGCAGCTAGTCCCGCCCTTAAGCCTGATAAGGAATAGAAAAAAAAGGAAAAAACAATTTTCATTCGATAAACAGAGGAACATATACTCTTACAAGATAAGCCACATAATTCTGAGAGACAACAGCATTCATCAAATTCGTACACTGAGTGATTATGTTCCCATCTCAACTTTTTCCTGTATTGCTTATCTTTTCAGGTCTCTGGCTGTTTTGTGCAGAAAGAAGCTAAGGTGAAGTGTGGTGACTGACTATTCAGGTACCACACTGGAAAAAAAACAAAAAGAAAACAAAAGAAAGTTCAGGATTTCAGGCCAGCAGCATCTGGCTGTTACAGAAACCCAATGGATCATCTAATGCCCCAAAAGATTACTTCAGCTTTCCACTTAGTTTGATCTTCATCTCCAGACTTTCATGACTTTCCACTGGTCTAATACAAGGGAAGGCCACTATCATAATTCATCTTTCATGTGGATGGTTCTGTAACTATCAACTATCCTCCAGTTAAATATTTAGCTTGATGAGTATAAGCTGAGCAGGAAGTTCTTTTCTCACTTGGGATGTGCAGAAGCCACCATTTGATGCTTTCAGTAGAAAGGAGGAAGGCACAGAAACCAGGCCAAAACTAGAAAAAGCCAAGAAAACAAGCATGGAACAAGAGAGTAATGGAAAAACAATACTGGAATAAAGTAAGAAGGTAGGTAGGCCTGGTCCAAGAGAGACTGAAAAATGAATGTTTCAGTTACACTTTTCTGGAGAGGTATCTACAGACATCTCTTACTCAGAGGGTTGATCCTGACATGAGTCTGTCCCTCAGCCTCTTAACAGGCTCCATTTATTAGGATGAATGATAAAACCTCCAGAACTTTTTTTTAATTCTCCAGAATCAAATGCAACACTTCTGATACATATGTGGTGCTGTGCCCATCAGGACATTTTACATTATTTGCATTTCCTAATATGTGACATAACATAAAGGTGGGTATATCAGTTCATCTATATTCAGAAATTTCTGTGGCACTTCTAAGTAAAACCCAGGGCTTGAAGTAAAAAGTGTTCTTTGACAGGAAGCAGGTGGAAGAGGAGGCAAGATTAAAGTTGATTTCAGCAGATTTCACAATCATGATTACCTGGGCAGATAATCCTAGTGTTAAGCACAGGGAGGTTTTCTTTGCTGGCAGCCAAAGCTGGAGCAGAGAAGGAGCCTGTCTGAGAATGGATACCTCGACTTGCTCGTCGATCTGGAGATCTTGGCGCAGTTTTAACTGTGTACAGAAGAAATAATAATAAGAGCGCTAGATATAGCGCTAGATATATCAGCACATTACCAAATGCATAGCTTTACAGCCTTCAAAATATTTCAAAATCATTAATATCTGTCACTCTTCTGTGATAAATGTCCTTCTTCCTCGCGCCACTTTTTTTTTCTTCTAAATACAGGGAAGAAAGCTCACAAACAGAAAGATCAAGTGAAAAGTAAAAATAAAAATGCATGAGTGTGCATGAAATTCAGTGTGAGGAATTCCCAAATTCTGGTTCTAGCTGCTAGCAAAAATTAAACTATACTAGCCTTAAAATGTTACAGTATTTAATACTGTAGTAAGCGTCTGATAAAATTAACACTAGGTTTCACAGAAAAATGCAGACTTCAGAAAAATCAATCATCATTAAAGAAGAAATGTTAATGAAATAACAAGAATTTATATTTATAAATAAATATACACTGAATTTAAGTTGATCGTTATTATTTACAGCAATTTTAATATAGATAACCATTAAGACCCAGGCCCAAATTAAGCCACAGCAAAACCTCATCAACAGCTACACTATTCGTTTTAAGCAGCCACAATGGATCTGCCTGCATCACATTCCTGAACCTGACAAAGTCAGACAAATCAATCAGACGCTCGCACAGAATTCTGACGTATTTATCTTCAGCCAAACTGAACGCTGCATGGGAAGGGAAAGCCATGATCAGACACTCTTGTCTTCTGCAGTTAGGAAGATCATGGGGGAGATCAGTTTACCATCACTCTCTCTTCTTCATAAAGAACACAAATTCCCCAAGCAGTTAAAATAACTTACTTGTTAAGATTCAACAGAATAGGGAACAAAGCCTTACACACAGCAAGCAATGCTTGGTAGCTGATCAAATTGTTGCTGTCAAAGGCAGACAACAGCTCAGGAGAAAGAGATGGAGAAGAAAATCATGCGTAAAGAGAAGATATTCACAAAGAGGAAATACCACCTTAGTGAGGCTAGCTATTCCTTGGGGTTGCCTCGGTAGGCAATGAAGAAGGACAGGCTTTTCAGAGGGCTAACTTCAGGTGCTTTAATTTACCTCCCTGGCAGAACCTGTCTCAGACTGACAGAGGGGACACACCAATGCTCACATTAGCCTCGGGTAGTCAATCTCTGCGAAAGCCAGCCCTCCTAGCCTTTGTCAGGAATTGGCACGCTAAGAAAGAAAGTCTGGGTGCTACTGAATGCTCTTTGGTATGGCACTTCCACGTGCACGCAGAAAGCTTTTGTACGCAAGATGAACACAGTCAGACAATTCTGGGCTATCTCTGCTCCAATTTCTCTAATATGTTAAAAACACTTCAGCTTCAGAACAACTTCATCCTTGGTCAACTGAAGAAACTCAGAAAACAAAACAGACGGATTTCAAAGTGATCTGAAATCTTCCTCTCGACATCCCAAAATTAACTCGGGAAAAAAGAGGAAGAAAAAAAAAGATTAGGGCTAGCACCAAGAAAACAGTAGGAAAGCACTGCTAGGAATGGGGTAGGAAGGAAAAAAAAAAATTCTTTGTGGCAGGAGGGACACAGATCAGCTCATGTCAATCATGAAACCTCAGCCTGAGAGTAACATGGGTACATTATATGAAGACATTATTGGGAAGAAAACGCAGAGCAGGAGAACATACAGACAAAGATAATAACAAGAACCAGAGCTTGGAAATTACATTCAGAGCAATTCAAGCTAGGATTTGGGCATACGCTTTTTTTCAAATGATGACAATTTATCATGGAGCAGTCAGTGAAATGGTGAATTCTTCTTCTCCTTATATCTCAGAAATAAAATTACAAGCCTTTCTGGATGATTTGCCTAAGTCAAACAGAAATTATTAGACTCGTAACAGCGATAAGTGGCTGAAATTTTCTGGACTCTTATGTGGAAGGTCATTAGGTAAATGACCTAATACCTCCTTCTGACTTTAACATCTGTAAAGTAGCCTTAGCAATCATCACAAAATGATGTAGTATTGTGAGATATCGACACAACACAACGATTTGTATAGGTGCATGACAAAACATTGTCCTATAATGTTAAAAAATGAAAAGAAATAAAAAATGCAAATGATAGCTAGCAAGTGTTATTAAATATTTAGATGAAGGTAATTAACATATGGAAAAATATTACCTTCATCAAATGACCAGGGGAAATTCTCAGAGGGTAAAATATAATATTCAGAACACAATTAACTTTCATTTTTCATAATGCTACTGAAAAATTCACAATGCTATTCAGGCAGTTTGTTCTCTGTACTGGGGAACGAGGCCGTTACATTAAATAGGAAAATCAACAGAGCAGCTGCTCTTTATCCGACAGATGAGACACATGGGTATAACTGCACTAAAGATAAACTTTTGCTGTTCATGCTCTGATAAAAACAACAGAGCCCTAATGAGTAAAACTGATGTTTCATTGCAGATAATTGAATTCATGTTTCATGCTTTCTCCCTAAACACCTGTCTCCCACTGACAGCATTAATATGCACTCTGTTTCCCACATTTCAGATGTATGAAGAATAACACACCTCCCTAACAAGCACAGAAATCACATCACCAAGAAATAAGGACTGTATATACATATGTGAATATCTGTAAGAATATACATGTATGCATAGATATTTATTGTTTGTATGTGTGTATGTATATATTTTTATTTAGTATATGTTTACGGCAGTAGGAACAGGTCATTCATCATGGTCATAGAGCTGGCATCTTCCATGAGCTACTGCTGAAAGCAGACAAGCAACAAGCATTGATTCCTATAACAAAGGTAAAAGGAGAGGGGCCAGGCAAGAGGCATCACTGAAGAAAGTCTGGAATCCATTACTGGGGGAAAGGAAACGTGACATCCTGAATAAACAGAAGCCCCAAGAAACTAATGATCCATTCTTAAGGTAGGAGCTGTTCACACAAACATCAGATTCAGTGCAGAGCCTCAGGAGGAGGATACCTCTTGAAGATCTTTATGTGGGTTAGTGTAACAGGAGGAGATGCACATACCAAACAACTTTGCTGATAACCCATCTGGCCACAGAGAGTGGTTTGCTATGTATCTAGAGGAGATGCCTTTTGCTGTACACCAGCCACCACTGTCTCTCCACAATTCACATTTTCTCTTGTGGCCCACTTTGGTAATTTGGCAAAGACCAAAATTTCCATCTGGAGTACCTAACAGCTGTTCTAAAATTATTACGCAACCTGTTTCTCTTGAATAACCCTGCCACATGAACTACTAGCCAACACAGAACACCATACTGAAGTTTGTCATGGAAAACGGCCAAACATGACATCTGGCTGGATTGGCTTGGTGCCTAAAGCCAAGCAGGGGGAAAGGTACGTGAGGGTCTCCTACAGACAGCTCGTCCTTCCACCACGGCAGCCACTCGGAGCGGATTCCATAAAGGACACATGAAGGAGAGATTTCCCCTGTCATTTGAATGTGGGAATTAGTACTATGCTACTTCAGGAGATAACTGCAGAATACTATTCTAAGCTCGTTTATTCTAAGCTTCTAACTACTATTCTAAGTTCGTTTACCAAATACTCAGTAGCCAAAAGAAAAGTATAGCAACAAAACGGGCTATCACTTTATGAAAATGCTACCTTCCAAGCAAGTTGCTTCATACTCAAATCACTCACTACTCTGATTGCTCTGTACAATGAATGACACAAATAATACACAGAAATGCTGTCCGCCTTTTTTGGGAAGTAAGGTGCAAAACCTCAGTGAGGAAAGCAGGAACAGTTAGACAGTAGCAGCTGATGAAGTGGATCCAACCAAGGACAGAGCCGGCACATGGCCCTACAGCTTGAAAAGCAAGTATACCTTGCTATAGCGGCTTACTGTATAGCTTGCTGTATAGCAGCCAACAGTTGCGAGAAGCCAGCTTGATGCATCTTTGGGACAGCCAAGCTAAAAATTTTGTCTTGGAAAGGAGCCCTAGTAACTTTGGCAGCAATCTTCTATCCGAAAGAAGCTGTGGAAGCCCAGAGTTGAAGATAAGAGCATTGAGTAACTAGAAAAACGAATAAGATCACATTATTTTTCTTAATCTTCTCGATTCTTTGGCCTGTTCATTTCTAAATGATTTAACTTGGATAATTTCTGCAAGCATTTTGCAAAGGGGTATTCTAACACATGACTGAACTATTTATAAATCTGCTCCTCTAAAGGAGTATCCACACAATAATCACTCAATTCATAAAAAGTAAATAAAATTATTCACTTGTTATAAGTTAAAATATATTTTAGGAGCCATAACCACTCCAGCCTTTGTTTGTTCAACACAGCTCAACACAGATGGCAGGAACAGTTTTTCTGTACTAACATTTCTTTTTAATTTTCTAATCAAAACTGAATGAATGCAGAAACCATACTGTTATTTTTCAATAGTTCCATTTCAAATCTTTTAAAACCTAAGCTACCCTGCAATAAGACCAGCTGAGCGTATACTATGTATTTAAGCAATGTGCTATTTAACATCACATAGGAAAAAGCAACCACTGAAAAATTCTGACAGTGAAAATAATTTTAAGACACATTACACATTATATAGTCTTAAGTAAACGTTACAAGTAAATTTCCCGAAACACTGATGCCAGAAATTCAAGAAATTCGCAAATAAAAGTTCCACCATCAAATTAAGCCCACCATTCTCGAATCCATAGATAACAGATCTTTGTCTTTTGGCTAGCAATGGCTCATTCTGCTGAAAACATAAATTTCAATATATTTTTGAGACACCTAAAGATAAAACTTGAAGCAATCTTTTTAAGCGCTCTGTGATACAGGAAGGCCTCATCCTACTTTTTGTGATAGGGCATCAAGGCAAATAGATCTGAATAGATCTAATAGGTGTCTAAAAATTCATAAATAATGACTGTTTGAATAATCAACATCTATGCAACGCCTAAACAGGCGCCAATATATATTGTTTATTTACATGTGTGTGTACCTGTGCATACATATGCCCATATAGAAATCAAGCATATGCACATGCGTTTTAATTACTGTTGGAAGCCAATATATTCAGGATACACAGCAATGCAAAATAAGTTGTTTTCAGGCTGAATTAAGTATTTCTTGATCCAACTTAAAGAGAATATTCAATTTAACTCTTGAGCACAATATGCATGAAGAAGAGGCAGTAGTGCTAATTCTGCCTGCCAGGCAGGTTGGACCCAAATGGGATACCCAAGACTTTGGTTCAAGTCTCCCCTCTAGAATGAGGTAAAAAGTGGGGCCGAACTCAGTCATGCCGCTTCTCGGGAGAACTCTGTGCTCCAGTTCCTATTGTATAATTTCCTGCTTTAAGTGGTTCCAATTTGTATAAAACGCTTAAATGTTCATTCTGTCCCAGTTCCAGTAACTCCATCTCAAGGTAAACTCCCAGATGACATATAAGAATTTCATTGCTGATACAATGAATGAATATTCCTGTTTTACCTAAAGTTAAACACCCTCAGAAATGACTGACAGAAATTCCTTTAATACACCCTAAAACCCTGTGGCTGAGACACGCTATCACCACTGTTACCTAGGTTTTAGTCCCTGCTCAGGGCTGGATTAAACAAGCACTTCTTTCCTCAGAAAGGAAAGCCTTCTCAGCTTTGGAAATCTATTCCAAAGATTCATCTTATCCCTGGCATTTTTCTCCACTTTTATTTAGCCAAATCTATCGAAATGTGTGAATAGTTTCCAATTAAATAACACTCCAGGACTTGGCAAACAATACATTCATGGAAAAATATTATTTCAGACCAATTGGAAATGAAAATCAAAGCTTTAAGCTTTCACACATTGTCCCAGCACATGTAAAACAAGGGGTTGCAACAGCCAGAGATACAGAAAAAGCCTAGGTAGAAAGAACATTTTTTCAGAAAGTATATAGTATAAAAATAATAGAAATAATCTAACCGTTTTAAGTATGGGGCCAACGATGCTGGTTTCATAAGACTACATGATTTTAAATGATGTTATTTCTAAATTACTCACCTGACTGAGACTCAAATTCCTTTGTATCTTCCTCTTTTTCCTCTTCTTTTGATTCATCCAATTCTTTGCTGTATTCTAGAGGGGACTGGTTCACTTGTTCTTCACTGTGAGCATTCTGCTCATCCACAACTGCTTATTAAAAAACAAAATTTTTTTAAAGTTTCAAATATTTTAAAGAAAAATCTACATAAATTGAAAATTAGCTTCTTGTTTCTGTAGCTGTAACTTGTAACAAGCATATCATTTTATCTACAGGAGAAGGTAGAAATCAAGCTTTAATAATGACAACTTTTTTTTTTTTTTTTACTAGCATAAATCATCATTATTCTATCAGTAAGGAACAAAATATGGCTGATGCGCACCTTTTTCTGCTTGTTCAATGATCTGCCTCACAGCCTTCTTTAAACTGTTTGCCCGCAGCATGAGCTGTTCTCTTGGTTTGAAGAGTTTCTGGCTGGAAGACTTTGCAACACACTCTGCTAACTGCTCTTTACTTTCAGATAAGGATTCTTCACTGGAAAACTCCTCAGCTTCTTCTTCCACGATGGGGGGAGTGATCCCTGGGAGAACAGGAGCAGCCTGGGCTTCGGAGTGGAGAGCTTGGAGCAGTAGGTCTAGCTTCTCATTTAACTCTGAACACTGAGATAGCGTATTGCAAACAAAGTTGGAACAGAACACACACCCACACACACCCACACAAACCGAAACACCAAAAAAGCAGTGAACTTTTTGGGGAAATTAATATCAGATTATAGGGAGGGTTCTAAACTCTCCATGAGGTAGGATTGAAAATCAACTACGTAAAGTCTAAATCCAGATTTACCATTTTGCAATATCAGGTCTGCATGGGTTTTTGCAGACAGACCTTGTGACACCCAACCAGATTGGAGCAATTATTCCCCCAAAAGCTATACTCGGACTAAAATAATATACTGTGCTAAACCCAGCCTGCCACATAACGAGGCTGCAGATTCGATCTTGCTTCTTTCTGGATGGTTTGCAGCACAGTCAGAACCACCACCGATTTGCCCACACCCTGCATTACAACAAATTATGGGCACTCAATACCCCAGTTCAGAGGACTAATCTATGGGGCTGCTCGACTGAGAACTCATGGTATTTTTCTGCCTAAATATCTGTACATTTAAGCAAGTGCGGGTTGTCAGAGCGCAAAGAGGGTTAAGCCAGAAACAAACACTGTCAAACACCTCTACCCCCGACTATGCAGTTGCTCTCTCCAGGTACACTGGAGAAGAGGTGATTTTCCATGCTTAAGGGAAAAGAAGCCAACAATATTTTTCCTGGAACGGTAAAAAAAAGAATTATCATTTTCTAAAATGTACGCTGAATAGTACAGAAACGTGAATCACTAAATAATTGCCATCTAGCAAGTACATTTCCTGACCCTGGGACTGTTAGTGGTTTTGTTTTTTTCTTTTTCAGTTCATGTAGGTTTTGTGCCTCAAACCAGACTTCTTTTTTAACTGACTCTGCAACATGATCTCTACAATTTGCAGACTAATCCATTCTTTTTAACACTATAATCTCTCCTCCCTTCATCCTCCCAGCATATTCTCTCTTCATTATTCCATTGGTTTCCTGCAGCTAACTTAATTCCTTCGGCAGAAAAGTATAACCCCCAATGTAAAATATTTTTGTCTTTTCCTATGTATGTTTTATCCTGTATGCTGTATCCTGTATGAAGGAAGAAAGAAAAGAAAGCATTACTCAGGGTAAACAGAGTTTACAGAGATGTTTAAAGTTGTTAAAGATGTTTTGGAAATAACTGCTCTTTCTACTAAGGAGAGAAGCATTTTGAAGTCACTGACCTCAAAACAGAAGCCAAGCTGGGCATCCAGAAGCCATGTGAAAATTAAAAACCCACAAGCTATGAACTTAAAAAGAAAATTATCCCCGAAAATACTCATAATCTTACTTTAGTGGCCATGGCATCAGCTTCTTCTGCATTTTCCATCGGTTTTTCGTAAGTCTTCCCTATTTTGGCAACAAAGTCCTTTACAGTTTCACATAATATTCTTCACATAAAAATAAGAGAGAGAAAAAAAATCAAATGAAATAAAATAGATACATTTCAATATTAAATTCTTGGATTAATTTTATTAAAATTATTAACATGTTTTTAGGGTTTTTACTTAAATTACATACAATGTCACACAAAACTCCTAAGGATTAAAAAAAGCCCTGCATTTCAAGGAGAATATATTTTATAGAAATGTATGTGGACGAACAAGAGATTAAGTTATGGCATTGATTCCTATGCCTACTACTATATACCATTTTTGTTGTAAAGGGAACACTGTGATCATATTTGTGAAGCAGATGATATTCTCCACGCCCTGCAAAGTTCAAGAGAGAAACTTTAAAACAAAACGTCTTTCTTCCGTTTCATTCAACCCTTCCCTTGCTTGTATATCTTCCATACCAGAGCTAGTAGCAAACTTGCATTCCATTTATTAACTTTGAATGCAACCTCTCATGTGAGGGTGGACCCTACAATACATGGAGAAAACCTACTGACTTTAATGGAGCACTTCTTAGGTGAAAGCCTATGTCCACACACATCCCATTGCAGGAGCCACAGTCAGCTCTGAGGCATCTCTAGACAAACTGCGGTGGCTGAAATGAATTTTCATTTTATAAATCAGAGAAAAATCGGTTCTTATTGCCTACACGGCAGAGGCAGTGCAACTTTACTAACAAGGCGCGAATAATTGGTTAGTAGTGTTCATCTGGTTTAAATTCATTTTACAGGAACTAAATAGTGAGATTTAGGAAGATATAGACACCGTTTAGAATTTGGAGTTATAAAAGTATTCCGCAGTTTAACTTTCAGCATGCGGTATGTGTATCTTAAAAATGATATTTTATTAACTTAACAGAAAAAAATGAGATGCAATGACAGTCACATGTACTATTGATTCTACGATCAGTCTTTTGCATACCACAAAACGTAAGAGTTTTTCACAGAGAAAGTATATGCAGAATACTTCTGATTTCAGATGACGTCCATGATTTCTAGAGTAGTTATTGAAGTGTCTCACTTTGGAAAAAAAATCTTTTCTCCACGATCACTGTTTTTTGAATTGATATAGACAAAGGTATAAGAGTTACACAGCTGAATTCTACTTTGAAGTATTTTGTCTTAACAATATTGTATGAGCAAAACAAAATATAAAAATTGCAATGTGAACTAGATCACATTTGTACATTAGTAACAGCAGGTTTCATATTTAAATTGCATGCTGGATTTTGAGTGACTTAAAATCACATTATATTAACATAATGTGATTTTTCACCAGTTCATGGGTTTGGCATTAAGATATCCATTACAGTTGTACCACGTACAGTTGTACTTTCTACAGAAAAAACATCCACTCTACAAGGTATAAATGAGGCTCTGTAGAAGCCAAGTCAGCTGGGCTAGTCACAAGAAATTCAAACTCGCAAAGATTATTGTGGCCATACATAGTGACGTTATACAGTGCGTTTATCCTACGCATCATACCTAAAAACTATCAACTCACTTGGCAGATGATATGACAACTGAGTGCTGATCAGAATTGAGGATTTTTGCAAGATGAGCAGCAACTGAATCCTCATAAGCAGATATCTGAAAACACAGAAAAGCAAGACTTCAATTTCCACATGCTTCAGCTTTTTAACACCAGGTAGAGCGTTAAAACGCCTCCAAGAAACAGCAGGACTTTCATCGCAGGTCTAGCCAAGGGCAAGTAGCTGGCTACCCAGCTTCTGCCTGTATACTGTATTTTGTGTGCTGTTATTTTTAATACTCAAAATAATAGTGAGTCTGAACTTGATCTAGACCCCTCTTCCTCTGGTAGAGAAAACAGTAATTTAATCCTAGGCTATAAATCAGTCCATGCAGTAGAAACAATCTACCTTGTTTTTAGATTAATAACAATCTATGTCTTTTATTTCCAAATAAAGTAAGTTTCCCCTTAGATTAAGCTGTTTGACTTAAGAACAAATAATCAAAATTTGAGGATATGTTCCCGAATTTTCTTTTTTCTGTCAAATGGTATCTTCCTCCGCAAGTATCCCCACTGACAAAGCCTGATGAACTGAAACAGTTACATCAACACCAACCCTCTGAATAAACCATGTGGGGATTAGTCTTTACAAAAATGCTTGGGAGAATGAATGTGTGCATCTTCTTTCTTTTATTGCACAGAAGAATTATAAACTCTGTGATACTCAGGAAAAGGTCTGGAATGGATCAGAATCACGTTTTCACACACTATATCCTGTCTTAAAACGGGCATAGATCCAGGCTTTAGTTTCAAGAGAAAATTCTAACCAAGCTCCAAATCTGAAGCTAAAAATAACTCTGTAGCTCTGAAATTTTCTGAAGGCTTCTTTTAAGAATCTCTTAAAATCTGTTACTTAGTGTATTTTGCTTCTTGATATTGAACAGCTAAAAATGTCATTCTTCCTTTCCCCTAAAACCTGACCTTAGTTGCGTAACTTTCACAGTAAATCAATTTCAACTTCAAGGGTAAAAATACATAAACACCTAATTTATAAGCACAAAAATATTGGTGTTTAAGCTACAGTAAAGTCTTCTGGGACCAAACCAAATGAAATAAGTATCCTGAAACTGGTAGAAAGAAAAGGAAAAACCAAAAAAAAGTTTCGGACATCCACTTTTTGAATTGCACTTTAATACATTACTTATAGCAAGGTTAATCTACTCTTTAAAAACTCTTTCCCAAAACATCACAACTCAGTAAACTGCAAAAATCATTAAACCAGAGATAGAACAAGGTACTTAAAATAGCTTTCTTTAACTCAGAATAACAGCATATAATAACAGCTTACAGAACTGATTTTCAAAAACAGAGGTTTTGCACGACCAGTTCCTTCAGTTTTGGGGAGGGACTAAACCTAATTTCAAAGGCAGAACTAATTAGAACAAAATGTGAGGGTTTTTTTTTTTTTTTTTACTTTGTCATTCTGACAAGAAGTTACACTTGAACACGCTAACAGTCTTGTAAAATCAGAGAAGATAAAGCCTCACTGTGCACTGCTGGCACCAGAAACAGCTGTGTGCAAAATGACCACATCAGAATTGCAGCCAACAAAGTCTCAGTCTTTTTGCATCTCAATATCACAGAATCGTTGAGGTTTGAAATTATCTAGTCCAAGCCCCTTGCTCAAGCAGGGTCACCTAGAGTACATTGCACAAGACCCTGTCCAGATGGCTGCTGAGTATCTCCAAGTATGGTGACTCCATAACCTGTTCCAGGGCTCAGCCACCCTCACAGGAAAGAAGTTTTTCCTCAGGTTCAGATGGAACTGCCTGTGGTTCAGTTGGTGCCCGTTGCCTCTCGTCCTGTCACTGGGCACCACGGAGAAGAGACTGGCCTCATTCTCTTGACACTTTCCCTTTAGATATTTGTATATATTGATGAGATCGCCCCTCAGTCTTCTCTTCTCCAGGCTGAACAGGCCCAGCTCTCGCAGCCTTTCCTCATAAGAGAGATGCTCCAGTCCCCTCAGCATCTTTGTAGCCCTCTGCTGGACTCTCTCCAGGAGTGCCATGTCTCTCTTGTCCTGGGGAGCCCAGAACTGGACACAGGACTCCAGGTGTGGCCTCCCCAGGGCTGAGGAGAGGGGCAGGATCACCTCACCTCCTTCCACCTGCTGGCAACGTGCTTCCTAACGCAACCCAGGATCCCCTTGGCCTTCTTGGCCACGAGGGCACATTGCTGCCTCATGCTCAACTTGTCCGCTGGGACTCCCAGGTCTTTTTCCACAGAGCTGCTTTCCAGCAGCTCAGCCCCCAGCCTGTCCTGGTGCATGGGGTTCTTCCTCCCTAGGTGCAGGACCCTGCACTTGCCTTTGCTGAATTTCACGAGGTTCCTCTCTGCCCATCTCTCCAGACTGTCAAGGCCCCTATGAATCCAGCCAGCTGTCAAAGGTTATACACTTCATGCCAACTAAAACATCCTGAATCATCAAATTATTCAAGAACCTGCTGTTTAATTGCTTCTCAAGTGCTCTTGAGCTAGAGTTGATATGCATTAACTCTTTCAGGAATAAAAGAGTCATTTTGAAGAGTCATTTTGTCATTTTGAATCACACTTTTTATGCCAATTAATTTGATTATAGTCTTTCACTCTCCCTCAAAATCGAATCCTAAACAGATAGTATAAGCACAAACCTAGTCTGAAAGATATACTAAGCTCTTCTTTCAGGCCACTTATGATTCTGAGTTCTCCAAAAGAACAAAAAGAGTATTAGATAGTATCACCCTATCTAAGTCATTTTTAAAAGCTCTGAATAGCTTCTCTGACTTTCATCACGAGAACACACACCTTGCCTTCAAAAAGCCATTTTCAAATGCTTATTCCAAACTCAAGATGAGTAAAAAACATTTTTCGTTTTCAATAAATAAATACTTTCAAGAGGAAATATCTGTGACTGTTTTGCTGAAGACTAGTCAGCTTCATTCAACTGGAAGCCCTAATTATTTGATATACACAGCATGAACAGAAGTTGACTCAATTCAACCAGCCGAACATCTGTTTTCTATTTTGCACACAAATGTTTTAATTATATTTTAAATATTGTCATTCCAGCAGCTCAGAGTTAAGCATATGCAATGACTAAACAAAGCAAAAACTTCACCTGGCATTCCTCTGACTCTTCTTCTGCAGTGACTGGAAGAATAGAAGGCTTCGTGGGTAATTTTAGTTCATATGACATTATACTCCACCTAGAAGAAATGTAACATAGCTTTTAGCTTTCCACATTATTACAGTATTATCCTTTCTCTAACATATCAACAAAAGAAAATTCACTGTCACCCTATAGAATAAGTTGTTTAAAAACAAACAGGGAGTTTAAGTTTTAATTGTGAGTTAATTGAGCAAAGATGAAATACCTGAGTTTAAAGATAATAATTTGTACTTTGCTCAAATTTTTTGTTAGTGATTTGTGAACAAATCCTGGGATGTTCAATGCAGGTAACAAAGAGTTTTCCAGTAACATATGCACGGTACAGAAGAATTCACATCATGCAAAATAACTGCAGAAATCAAAGGAAAATAGATGCGTTCCTAGAGAAAAAGCTCTAAAGTAACATTTGCTTTTCATCTCATTTGGGGGCAGGGAGTCATGAGAACAAAGCAAGCGGTAAAGTATCTTCACTGGCATATATACTTTTTTCCCTGGAAAAGGACAGTACTCTAGAGCATAGATAGCATGAAACTGCTAATATCAACATCCTTCAAAGCCTGCTGAAAAGAACAAGTAATCACTGCAGATGGCCTTGGGAGCAAACCCACACAAATTAGAGTGAAGAATGACACTGAGCTCTTTTCAGTACAGCAGAAGATAAACATGATTTAATCTATGAATATTTCAGAATGCCCAGGCCAGCAATTATATCTAAGGATCGGCACCAAGCTTTTTTTATTCACTTTGTTGTAAAATGATCAAATAGTCCGCAGAAGAGCTTCAAGCAAAGAAAAGGATTTTCTTCTCTACTTCACAAAAAAAACAGCCTAAAATAAAATCCTCTTTCATTAGATTTAAGGATTTTTTTTAACTTTTATAGATGTGTGTACAGCATATATATGTGTGTGTGCTGTGTACAGCAAGAATAGAAACACTCATGAGAGAAAGCATACGCTGAGTAAGAAAAACCAGCGCACACATACATGCAGTCCTTTCAGAAACCAGTGTAGCACCTTCGTTAGAATGACATGATCACTAATTTCTCTGACTTTTTTAAAATCAAGATTTTTCCTTTGCTTTCTAGATGGAAATAGCTGGCCTGCAAATATCATTCAAAATGATAGGATGACATTTGGTTTTGACTAAGAAAATGCCTCAGCTGAGAAGCTCAGTTGGCCCTGGGTTTATTTTACGTAAGATATGTTCAAACAGTAGTACTGGATCAAGCCAAAGATCCATCTAGACCAGCATCTCATCTAATCAGCCTTCACACAGAATCACACAGAATGGCCAAGGTTGGAAGGGACCTCTGGAGATCATCTAGCCCAATCCCCCTGCTCAAGCAAGGTCATCTAGAGCACATTGCCCAGGATTGCATCCAGGCAGGTTCTGAGTATCTCCAAAGGAGACTTCACGCTATGCCTAAAGAAATATAAAAAGGGTGAAAGCATAAGATGAGGTTTCTCTCCACTTCCAAGGACGCAGAGCTCAATTATTTCCTAAGTAAAGATGCTAACTCTAATGGTATTCAATAGTCCACATGGAATTTTCCTCTGTCAAAGTGAACAAAATAGTTCTAAGTTTACACCATTTCTTGACGCTTACAACTTCCTGTGACAGGCAGTTTTGCAGCTTCATAAGTTACGTAAAAAACTATCACCTTTTGTTCACCTTTGGACAAAATTCTTGCTAGTTTCATCAGACGTTCTCCCCTCTGACCCTGCAGTTAAAAAAGGACACTGAAGAGCTGTCACCTGTTTACCATCTTGACTTCACTCATGATTATGATCTGTACCCTATACCATTTTAACCCCTTTTAAAAAATAAAGTAACTCAAAATTATGTCTCTGGGATAGACTTAGGTCATTAAAAACCCAAACATACAGTTTGAATCTCATGATAAATCCTGTGTATACACATTTATGTTTACCTGTCTAACATTTTTGTGCTGGCTCGTTCTAATTTTTCCAAAATCTGAGGAAGTTGCGTATCATCATCACAGGATCCTCCCCAACCAAGGACACGAGCAAGGTCATTCCCAGTACCAAGGGGTAGCACTCCTAACTGACACTGGAAAACAACACAGAGGCAAATCTGTTATCAAAAATGAGAAAGAAAAAGTACAAACTATTACAAATGCTTATTATTTCAAGCAAGAAACGTTGATTACATAGCTGATGTCTAAAGCTTGCAGATCAAATTGTGCAGTCCCAATGCAATTTGTCATATTTACTTGAGCGAAAATTTTCATTTAACAGTAACTATAGAGTTTGGTCCTACCTCTACCAATACACATACGACAAAGCACCAAGTCAAGGAAAGTACACCTGCCTGTTTGTGCAAGCTGAGTTTATCAATTTCGGACAACACCCAGCCAACGCTTCCATCTCCGCCGCATACAAGAATCCGGAAGTTGTCAAATTTCTGAAATAATCGTAAACTAGAGAGAAAATGTGACCAGTTAGAACCCATATTCTTTAGCAAATATTACATGAAAATATGGTACAGAATATGTTTCATGGTGGTTTTTCTATTGCTCTTAAGTATGTGGGTAAAACTTACTAATAAAATCTATCTGCATTCCATCTATAGCTGTACATTCCACTTACTGACATTTCTGACAAATAACATGCAGAGTTTTTTTTTTTTTTCCCCCTTGCTATATCACATATTGTTTTCAGGATTTTATTATTATTGCTGTTATTTAAACATATACTTGTCTAAGCTATGAAATCTCAGTTGCTCTATGCTTCCTACCAAAATCAGAAGCGTAAGGCACCATTGTGCCCACGAGGAATTCTTCACAAGAAAAGGTTAAGACATGACAACAGGATGTGCTCCACAATATGAGTGGACAACTTAGCCTTTGGCAACTTGTGACTTGTGAAACTTGTGAAATGCAGGGACAGGTGGAGGCAATCTTTACATATACAGTGATCATAAAGTAAAACGGATAATGCTCTATTTCATATGAGATCCTTAAGGAGTATCCTGCTCTCACTTCCTATGGCTCTTCCTTCACTTCCTATGGCTCTTCCTTCTGTTCTCCAAGTATTAACAGCTACAGAATATAATACTCCACAACAGTAGAGAAAGCAGGATGAGAGAGACAAACAAGCAGAGAGGTGAGGCACAGAGGAAAGAGGAATGAAATGTGAAGAAAGAGGTAAGAGATAAAAAACGCAACAGGGATATAAACGTAAAAGAATTTGGAGAAAGTTGATTCTTAAAATTATAAAAACAGACATATTTATTTTAATGCATGTTATTTTCCAGAATATGTATCATCTTAGAACTATTTCTAAAAGCAGTATATTAAGATCACAAATTTTTGAAGCATTTCTATTTTCCTAAAGAAAATAATGGCACTTTTATATGATAAGCAGATACCTATTCAGAACAACAGAGGAAGGCACAGAAGGAAAAAAAAAAGTTGATTCTAGACCAATTTCTGCTACCCTGAGAAAAGGGAGAAAATCCCCTAGCAATACACTCCCCCCCAAAAATGTGACTTGTGCTTTTAAGATCTACTAGAAGAAAGAAGACATCAGCACTAGCTGACAGAATAACTCCTGAGGACCTCTCTTTGGAAACCATTGGGGAAAAACAGATAAAAGCAACCAAGCTGACCTACGATTACTGCGCAAAACAAAAGTGCATTTCCTAAACCATGCTGCTGTTAGAGACATCTATACAAAGCAAGACAACTTTAAAGCAGAAAGGCACACTTTTCAGACCGTCCTCTCTCAAAAACTTTCCCTTCGTGTAAGAGGAACCTTCCTTACTCATACTTTGTCATTAAAAGTACATGTACAAAATTTTAGGTGAAAGGGACTTAAAGTAAGATTTAAATCAGGGTTACAAAGAAAAGAAAGTTACAATAGTTACTATAACATATCTGTAACACAGCACTTATTATAAAAATCAATGGCTGTGTTCCATTATATTTGTAGGATTTGTCCATTGTTTGAACTCAGTTGTTCTGCATTTGTGTTGTCTATATTTTTATCATGCAAGCATGGTTCTGCTTTTTTAAGAACACAAAAATTTATTTGCTGTAATTGATATTAATAGGCCATTCAATCATAAGGCTACTGCTGAGTGGAACAAAATTAACAGAATCAGAACAGGAAAACGTGCACAAATTTAATCTTCATGAATTCACAAGGATGCTTGGGTAGTGGGCACTGCTACGCAGATTTCACCCCTCTCTCTCCAACAATCAGCCCTGGGAATTTGTAGAATGCCTGCTGGTTTTGATCATGGCTTTGCTCCAAATTCTGTGAGATGCTCATATGCATTAGGTACCATTTGCATATGGTACCTAAACCAGATTTTGAACATAAGTCTCCACCAACCAAAGTTTTAGTGTGCTAGTCAGTCGCCAGTTTTAGAATCCTCAACTGATAATTGTGTTTGGAATTCGAAAAGTTATAGAATTTAGATGAACAGACTTCTCTCTAGCTAGCCATTCATGACAAAGTTACAGGAATATCTGACTTATGCATATGAGACGGAAAAACACATCCAGGCGACTGTGCATAAAGGCCCTGCTTCAAGAAGGCACTTAAATATGTTCAACTGTTTTTAACGTTACCAGTTAATATAACTCAAAGCTAGCCAAAAAGCCAGAAAAATTTGGCCTGCTGGGTTTTTGGTTTTGTTCTGCATTTTCAAGTGATTTTTTCTAAAAAGAAAATATTATCTTACAATCCCTTCACCCACCAGAAATCATATTAAAATTCCATCAACTATTACAGATTTTAAGTAGGAAGTCATAGGCTAAATATCGCGAATAGAATTACAACAATAAGGGGACAACACAATACTACATTTTGCACTAACGTCCCTTACAGAAAGGATTGCTCAAGATTTCCAAGGTCATTACCCTAAGTGAGGTCCTCCATTCATTAAATCGAACACCTGAGCTGGATTTAACGACTGTTTGAATCGACGAAGAAACTTTACTCCCTGATTGTCTCCACTCTTTGAGTTAACAAAAACTAAAAGAGGACTGGCACAGGATGGCGGGCATGTGGCTTTCCAGAAACCTGTGAACATAGTTAGAAAGAATGAAATAAATAAGGCTTTCTAATATGAACAACACAAAAAGAAATCATGAGAAAGCAGGAAAGGAATGAAGGACAAAAGGAGTACATCTTATCATGCATAATGTCAATGCTAAACTGAATATTAGCCCTACCAAAGAAAATACCATTGCTCAGTATTTACCAATTATTTTTTTTCTCCAACACTTCCAATATCTGGATTTAGTAAAATCCTGAAGACAATAGCTTTATTGTTTTTTCCACAGTGAAAAAGGTAACTTTCTAGAATACTTCTCAAATCTCTTCTTCATAAATTATCGTATAATTATACATATATTCCAGTTATAAGTGTTTGGTTTTTACCTGATTTTTTTTAACCTCACTGGGTTAACTAGATCATCTAAGTCTGTATGAGCTTTCAAAGAATACTCATAGATTTAAGAAGTTACTGGATTCAACTGCTCCCAGCTAAGAATTTGCATGAGAACTTTTATTTCAGACTGAAATTATACTATTAATTATAATGGAATTACTGAACAACAAACCTTCAATTGTGATCTAGAGCTTAATTAAAGTCAATGCAGGTCTTTCAGCTGATTACAGGAGGCTTTCAGTAAGGCCCTTAATAAGCAGTACTAAGGGACACCATTGTCACTAACACTAGTACTCCATGGAAGTAGTGGATTCTCAATACCATATCAAAAATCAGACATCACAGGTATAGGTTTTGATATTTCAGGCAATATTAAATTAACTATGTATTTTTTATTTGCCTAAAACAAATAAGAAAGCAATAACTTCTATTAAAATAATAATAATAAAAAAAATTACAAGCCTAGGAATGCTAATAAAATTCCACATGATCATAATGCAGAATTAAAATAAGGTTTGCTTTATTTATTTAACTGCCAAGAAATATAAATGCATATATGGAACAATCTTGTTAGCATGAATAATAAATAACAGCATGACGCTCTAGTCTGAGACGCTGAATAGGAAGTGAATATAAAAGAGTGAATACGTACAGTATAAACAGTCATTTCTATTAATTTCACAGAGTAAAACTCATTGCACTGCGTTAAAGCTGTTGGTCTACATTTGCCACCAATATAAGCTACAAAATTAAAGCAGTCAGATTTCATGATACTCCTTATTAACTCCTTGACCTCATATACAGACTCCCACTGCTCCTACAACTCTCTCTATTCTGAGTCACCAATGAGAGCACCTCTGAGTTTTGAACATCTGCTGGGTTTTCTGTCTGTGTGTTGCAGGACTCTTACACTATTTATATTCAAATTTAGAGAGAGTGTAGCAGTTATTCGTCTTTTCAGTCTGTTAACGCAGCTATTGGATCTGAGTCATTCAGATAGCTAACCTCTGCATATAGCAAAGTTATCCAGATTTTGAGAACTTATTCTACGAGTGACCCATGTCAGGGAGGTACCAGGCCATTCTACCTTGAGGACTCTGGTCATTCAGCTGAAAAGTTTCCTAGAGTCATAAATGTAAATGGACAGTAATTCCAAGTGGGAGAACTTTAAAAAATGTTTTTAAAACCACATTAGTTAAATATTCCTCTAAAAAGATACATGGAGAATTCTACTATTTTCTAAACTTAAAGACTAAATCCACCTGCTGAGCAGAAGGATTTTAGCCTTGTTCAGATATACAAAGCTCACTAACCACAATAACTGCAGGGCTACCACTGAACACACCACAGCACTACGTACCATCAGAGTCTATACTGTTTAATGCTGTTGGAGGTATGATCGATACCTTACATTGGCCAAGTGGACATTTACGAGGATAGAGATCTTTACAGGCAGTGTGAACCTACAAAAGAAAAAACAAGTTATTTCCCTGCTCTACAATGTAATCTTTGGGCAAATGCATAACTGATACAGTATCTTGGTAGCAAAATGGATTAATAAATAACATTTAGGTGTAGAGCGAAGAGGAGTGGAACTGTACAAAAATATGAGTGTTCAACCAAAAAGGCCTTTCATTTCACAAAGCATAAGTTTGGAGTACTTCATCTGTGGATACCCCTACAACAGGTACGAACAATCTTTATGACCAAGTAAATCACTTAGCTCCATCCAGTTGCAAGGGAGGACCAAATTCCCAGCAGCTAGGCTGGGGAGAGCAGGCACACGCTGCGCAATAGCTCTATACACGCCCCATCCACCTGGATGTTCTGGAGGACATATGTGCACTAAAGCTAGCACACTTACCAAGCCAAATAAACCAGCCAAAGGTAGGGCCTGTGCCCCGTAAACCACGTGTTGTATAGGCCTCTTCCATCGTTACTAGAAAAATAGGCTTACACAGCAACTGCTGCAGCTCACCTAAATTTTGAATCACATCCGAAGGTGCCAATCACTTTCCAGTGCCTGGACACAGAGCCTCAGACACCGACATGCCTAATGTCTCAGTGAAGTGTATAGAGTTAACTTTCAACTAGTAAAACCTACAAAAAATGCCTGGACATACTTTAAAAATCTGCTGATATCCCGCTTGTAAAGCCTACCATAAGAAAGCAACCAAGTGATCTACGAGGAGAAAATTGTATTTTAAAGGAAACACCAATAGACTATTAGAGAATTTCAATCAGCAGTATAGAGTATAGTGAAGAAGAGCACTTCAAGAGCCCAGCAACAATATTTTCAAAGATGAATGCAAATCACCCGTGGTTTAAAAAAAAAAAAAAAAAAGTAAATAATCCATAATCAGGCCTGCAGAACAGGCTTCTGAACCTTCGTTTATGTTTAAACTCTAATTCCTTAAAATCCTTTCCTCACAAAAGACCAAGTAAGTACTACAGACCTGACAGAAAGCCTACTAAAGTCAATACACAAAAGACACTAATGTATCCAACAAGTTTTGAACTAGAGCCTCAATCGGTCTCTCACGGAGTTAAGAGACAGGCAGAGAAAACGCACGGGATGTCAAGGTCTGTTATATAAACGCTGCATCTATGGGTATACTGAAGCTCACTGAATTAACTGAAACAAGTGGGACAGTCATAAGAAATTATGAATGATGGAGAAACATGAGTTTGTATAAGCTGAGTGCTGCTACTTCAATTCTAAAGCACAGTTATGAAATGACAAAGTAAAAATAATGGCAAAACGTAAGGTACGCAAGTTCCTAGAGGCTCGGATGTGGTCCACTGCACCTACCATAGCTTTACACCAAAGGCACTTCCAATCTTGCAGGCGTAAAACACTGCCGCAGGTCTTGTCGCAGACCGCGCATTTGGCACTGACAGGTAAATTACCCTCTAACCACTGATGAGGCATAGCTATCTGTGAAAAAGGAGTTATAAAGTTAAGCACTGAAATAGAAATTGAAGGCTCTTGTCTCTCAGTTGAAGACAGATTTCAAATACTTCCCACAGCTCTACCCCTTTATCAAAACCTCTTGCCCCTATATGGCAGACTAGGATACCTGACATCGATGCTCACAAGGCAACTGCTATGAATGTGGACTGTGGTGCTGCTTCATATGCTAGGCAGAAATATTACCGCTGGAGAAGTAATATAAATCTTATTCAACCGTTCATGATACAATGGTAGTAACTAACCACAAAAGAACAGATCACTTAAATGTAGAATCTCCATAAAATAATAAGCACCCGCTCACTTAACGTTGCATACATGGCACAAGCCAATTAAAAACATTATAATTTAGAAGAACAGACAAGACAGCAAAACGCCTCAGGCGCTTTAGTCACCCCTCTCAGGCACCATGTATGTAAGGTTATAGCTTTATAAAGCAGCCTCTAAACTCAGCACAAAGCTTCACTCAACACGCTTTCTGTGCCAGTAATAAGATGTGTAGCTCTATGTAGAGATGAAATTACATTGATACTTGTGCAATTTAGGACTAACCTTGTAAGGAAATGTTTTGTGCATGGTCGTGTTGGTAAAAATAACCCATCTATCAGAATAAACCTCTGAAAAGCTTTTGTTGTTTCTTCTTCTAATTTTAAAATTCTTGCTTTCATCAGTAAAAGACCTTCCATATGTCAGTGAATTCCAAACAGGCCTCCTGGGGAGTAACCATCAGTAGGAAGGACACAAAATAGATTGCCAAAATAGCTTAACAACAGTATAAAATACCATCTTTGCTCAGGAGTAGGAACTTCTCTGAACAGCTCTTCAGCCTCTGAGTTTCTCTGCATGTGGTCTTTAGAATCCTGTAACACAGCTACATCCTCATGCCAACAGATACTAAACTTGTCTTGTAAGAGAGGAATATAACTTTTACTCTAAACATCGTGTTAAGCTTTGAAAAGTTTTCAGGAATATAGCCACCTACCACTAATTTTAATGGGTCAAATGACAACATTTCTATGCTTAGCCTTTTTTTTTCCCATAAGGAAGAAACAGCTGTTGGAAAGTACTGTAAATATAAATAATACTTACACCATCTTCATCTTCAATGATATCTTTTCCAATTGAGGCTAATGTAGTCCACTTGCAGTTATTTGTTGCTCTGACAGCACATCTTTTATGTGCTTTAAATTTACACACTGTAAGGCATACACAAATGTACACTGTTATTTGTTATATTCCTATGACATGGATCTTAAAAAAAAAAAAAAAACAGATATTCCATGAAACAGCCAATTATATGTTCACTTTCTGTTGCAGATACGACACAAACTAATGAAAATAAAAATTTAACTTTATAATCATTCCAGCTTTAACTCCCTAAACTGGGTTTAAGGATAACAGAAACTATATGTGGACCTAATAGTTTTTCATCTATCCTTTGGAAGAGTTCAACAGCCGCAAACATTCAAGACTGGAGTAACTCTGTCACCTTAGAGCTGACTTAAGAGTACCAGCCTAAGGGGCTCTGACAGAAGAATGATTAGAAAATTCAGCAGCTGAGAAAAACCCTGTTTTTGCACATTCGTCCCCATTTTTCAGGTGCAATGCAAGGTATTAATATACCTTTTAACTATGCTTTTGCCCTTTCTCTTCCTCCTGTGACACAACTGAGATCCCTAGTTTACTTTTACAAGAGGTCGTGGGAGGGTGTTTCTGAGAAGAACTGTGCTTCAGGAGCTCTGCTTCGTTTGTGGGCTGGAGAATCCCTTTTGGGCACACTGCTGTGCCTGTTTCCCTACAAGCCGCGAAAATGAAGGATTAGGTGGTGATATGTTCATTCAGGAAACTGGTGGTTACGATATTTTCCAAAAGGTTACATGAAATCAGGAGGCGCCTGACTTCTTACTGGACTACTTACACAGAAATACGCTAATTGTAATAGGTAGTATAAGCATCTAGCACAGGCAGACATTTTGACAATCTAATAACTGTATTTTGTTCAACTTAATTAGTATGACTACTTAATGATATCGTACTATACCAAAAAGACTGATGCATGCAACTGTGAGTATTTATATTACCGGAAGTATATGAGATCATTCTATTTAAAGTGCATCATATAAATTATTTTGGCAAAGAGCATTAAAGGTTTATGAGGACTAGCCAGCAGACCAAAAGTAGTAGTCTTTTTTCGAACAAATATTTGACAGGAAGCGATCAAAAGCTTTCGCCCATCACTTGTCCACCATTAAAGACATTAAGCCATGGAACAAAAGGTCTTGAGAATCATAAATTTCTCATTTTAATTCCACTGACCCATTGTCAGATCAATTTTAAAAAGTGAAGGGAGACTAAGCAAGCAACATCCGAGTTGGACAGCAACCAGTTGCCGCTGCTCTGGGAAATGTGTGAAAGCATGTATTTACCTCAAAGACAGGGAAGCAGAGAAAAGGGGTTTGTTGCTTTACAGAAACTCCCGTGGTCATTTCAAATAGCAGCATTCATAGACTCCAAGTGTGCAAATATCCCATATTCCGCAGCTAACAGGATAGGCTCACATTTTCAAAATAGCTCAGCATCATATTTCTGGGCGTTTGCCAACATAAACTGGTTCTAAAAGAACTCAACTCCCACTGCAGCACAGAAGTAAAGGCCGCATTTTCAAAAGTGCTGGGCCTTGAAGAGTTTTGCCATTTGAGGGTTTTGGAGAAGAGACACCATACAATTCAGCTTCATACTCAGAAACGAGGCATTCATCTTTGTCGCGTAGATCAAGCTATCACAAATCAGCACTGAGGGATGGTAGAAAATCTCAAATGACTAAGAGATTGGATAATATACAGGTATAGGAAAGTAAGGGAATTTTCAAATCCTATTTGGGCTACCAATGAACTAGAACTCAAGGCTTTGGATTCAATCTCTGCTGTCCCAATAAGGCAAGGCTACAACTCACAAGTTCAAACCAAGGATCGGTAGAGTTTCAGCAATGCACATCATTGACAGCACGCTGACAAGCGACAGCTAAGATTTACTTTATGGGCGCTGTATAACCTACCAAATCTCTGTTCAGACTTTCTGTAGGTGCCCCCTGAAACCCAGCTATTATCAAACAATAATTCATGTTATTTCAAGCACTGAACATCGTCAGAAACAAGGACAGTAAAACACCGATGGACTTTAAAGCTTTTAAAATGAGGTCTTTCAAAAAGTCACAAAATACATAGCAGCATGGAAGAGAGGGGTATAAAAATAGGAAATTTTAACCAACTCTCAACCTTAGTTTCTGTTACCCTCTAACTTCTTTTATCCCAAATGATATTACACTCCGTTCATGAATCTGACATCTGAAATCTTGTGGAAACGTGCAGACATATTGCTAACTATCAATTGCCACTACTTTGCAATAAAAGTTAAGAGATGACAAAAAGAAAAAAAAATAGCCAAACCAAAATTAGGTTATTCATGGAGCAATTTTTAAGTTTAATTTCCTGTGTAAATAGTTCTAACTGCAATACAAAACAACTCTCTCTAAAAGCCAACCAAGCAAACCACTTAATTAGCAAACAGTTGTCACAGTTGCACCAACATCTGTTGTCAGACACAGTCACTAAATCTATAGCTATTATTGTCTACAATGAAATAAAGTCAGCATTACTGAGCATTATCATAGGACCTTTTCCACTGAAAACATACATCGTTGTTATAAAACACTTTTGCCTCAAAGGCCGTTCATTCTATTCACTCATCAATTAATTCAACTGCACTGGGAAAAAATATTGAGTGTCCTGCCAAACTTACCACTCTACCACCTATTTTCTGACGAGTTTTCTGTATTCTTCAAAGAATACCTGCTGCCTCAGACTGTTCTTTTCCAACCTCAAAGGCCTAAGCCAAAGTTCTGCGATCTGAAGATCCCTGAGCCCATACAGTTTAAGGTGTTGAGATGGAAGGATTTACTTTGGGGTACTCCATGAAACCTGCTGTTTTGTTTCCAAAAATATTCTCACGTGCAGGATTCACAAGCCACAGTGAAAACAGGATGACAGGCTGACACGAAAACAGCAATCTAACTTCACTCCAATTTCAAACCTGTGCTAATGATGTTAGAAAGGGTAAAAACCAGTTTTTATCCTTTATTTTCCTATTAGCTTTTCCCATTTTCTTGAAAATAAATAACTTTGTAAGTTAATATAACAGCACAAACAGTATGTTAAAAGGACACTTACAAGTCAAGTACTACAAAGTTAGGTTACTCGTGCAACCCTAATAAAGCTTCCTTATACCAATGTGAAGTCCTCAGTTATAAGATCATACACTTTTTTTAATAGGACCCTGACTCACTGCATGGGATGGATGGTTCTTAATAAGTATGCAGCTAGGCAGTACTCTGATTTATACTGATTTTCAACAGGTATTTGCCTTATTTACCATAAGCTAATCAAATACTGCTTATAAGACACAGTTATTCACTTTCTTATGGGCTTTTTATACTGTGCTCACCACTATAACTTTTTGTCTGCTTAAAAACGCAGGTCAGTTTTCACAGTGTACTGCCCAGATAAGGGTTTGCTTTTAAACCCATTTCCAGAAGGGGTAGAAGCATAGAGGGATTAAAACCAAAGTTGTACACCAATTTGGGGAGGGCTCAAAAATACAATGGAGGCCTGACTTTTCAGTATGATGGGTCTTCAAAGTATCAGTGTCTTCAAAACATAGCCTTAATTTTTTTTTCCATTTACTGAATACTCAGCATCTTTGTGATGCAGACACCAGATTATCAAGCCAAGTGCCCAGAAAATAAAAAATACACAACTTATAATTGGATGAAAAATCCAGTTTAAGTGCTTTCCCCAGGATTACATAGGGGTACAATGTGATACAAAGTCTCAGCACATAGTTTTCTGTTAGCGCCTTATAGCCTTTAATCCCTTAACTGTGACCCATCCTCTCTCCTCACAACTACTTCAGTCACAATTCACTTTCCAGCTTTTGTAGAAAATGTAGCAAAAGTCCTGGAGACAGCGGCTACCCAACCATCGCTCATGCAACGTTCTGTGCAGTGAGTAAGAGGATGAAGGTTCTCTGGGGGAAAAAAGCCATCGTAATGGAAAAAGATCAGGTGCAATATGGGCCAAGATCCATTTGTAGGAGCAATTTATTCCTGGTATTTTCTTGTTGCTTGACTTCTTGATCTTAAAGTGTTCTTTCAACATTGTTTTGTGTGTGCAATTCATCACAGTAGGAAGCATCTCATCTGCATCGCATTATTCAGCTTACGAGGTATATTTGATATTCAACCATCCAGATTCAGTCATGATGATGGAAATACTACATAGAGAAATGCTTTGTGAATAAACATAAAGGCAGCATTCCACTGGCAATGACTTGGACAGAAATGCTTTATTAATGCAGAGTAACTGAGGCTAATGAGGTTTTAAATAGTTAGATAATGATTTATAGACTTTTAAGGTTTTTTTTGGTCTAAACATCCCATGTATCCCTGTGATAACCTGATAACCTCATACTCTTGAGCATATGGCAAGCTAAACTCTGAATAAGAGAGACATTTGAGGAGAATAAGGAACAAAAGCCTGATTTGAATCAAATGATTTGGAATGATTGCCAAAGGTAGGCAGAAAATATAATTTCTCTGCCCTAGTAAAGACCACAGATGAATGCAGGGGAGATCACCCCTTTAGAACTAGCTAGAAGAAAATGTTTATTTATCAGCACAACACACTTAGTTGGACAACACTTCTAAGAAGACACAAAAGGAAGAACTAGTGCGAGGAACAGCACTGCATCTCAAAGGAGCACACAATTAGATTTTTAAAAAGTCAAATATTTCTTTGCACAGCACAAAGAATGAAGTTTGATTTGATATGAATTTACTTCTCTTGTTTGATCTTACATTGATTCTTTGACTTCTAATAAGATGCAAGTTCACATTATATTCTTTCCCCTAGTGAAGACACTAACATACCTTCCTTTTCTACACTGGCACAAAAATCAAGGAGTATTTTCAGGGTGGCCTGCATTTAATTTGCTCAAAGTTTGCTGAAAGTTACTGGGAGAGAAGGGCCCTGAAAAAAGGAGGTAGACCCACAACCCACCTCATTTCTAAAGCAAATGTGGCTTGTGCAATCAGGCTAAAAAACAGTTGCGTAGAGCTGCTGGATACCAGCATGTCGAAGAGAATGAAAGATTAAAGGACTGATCTTCTAAGGGATTATGAGCTGTAAAATATCAGCAATGGGATTTATTTCTATTTTTACCTACAGATAATAGTCAAGAATCAGACAACAAAGAGTACAAAGAGCCTAAGCTACTCTCAACAGAAAGTAGTCTTACTCTTTACTTTCATGCCAGTAATCTGATCCCTTGAAAGGAGGAAGAGTTCCAGTATCTACTGAGAAGCATCATCTCACCAGTACATGAGATAATAGAGAAGCCTGAGTTCAACAGCCACACAAATAATTGAATTTAATATGGACAGAAATGGATTCCCAGCGTAAAGCAGTACTCGAGGTTTCAGATGTCAGGCATGAATATTTAAACAGTTTTTTTAAAGATGCAATGAGAAAAAGTGGAACAGAAGATGTCTGGGGAATATTAAGACTCCATACCTACTATATCATCTCTTCAGAATGTCTATACTGCTAACATAGTATAAGCCAAGGAATAGATGGTGAAAATATATTAGAAGTGCACATGAGAAAAGCCACTAGATATGAATTCAATCACACAAGAAATTCAGAGAAATAAATAGCATAAAACGAAAATACACTTGTTATATGAAGAAATTAAGGAGGGTTCACAAGGTTTTTTACAGGCGTACAGAATCAATGGACAAAGTATGAGTATTTCAATGAAAGAGTCAACCTTCAACTGATTCAGATTAGACGAGTAGTTAAGGCTCTCCTTACACATATTCATGTAAATACTTCAAAAAACTAAAGGAAAATATATAAAACTAGTAGCTAAAAAGTAAGAGGAGGTAAATTATTAATAGATAAAAGAATATCAGAATATCCACATATAAACCAATCGAGGTCCTCTATGTTTATGAGACTGCAAAACAGAGGAAGAAAATCCAATCTACCATTAAGAGTCAATTCAGGGCAGCAGGTTAATGCTTCCTTTCGTACAGTTTCGCTAGTATACCGTACTAGGCACATACCTGAAGTATTGTAACAACATCAGTAACATAAAGGCATTTGCATTCAGGTAACATCCATCCAAAAATCAAGTTTTGAACAGTCTAAGTAATAGTTAACTTTTTCTGGACAGTTAACTATTTTGTAATTAAATACATAATAATTATTAATACATAAGTGTGAAAGCATCACCTAATCTTGCCTCTGAATGTCACATATAGCATAAGACCACAACAATGCTTAATTTTCTGCTGGATTCCAACACAAGCAGACTTGTTGCTGCTTTTTCGCAGAACTTACAGCAGAAAATAAGTAAATTAAAATTGAGTGTTTCAGGATTATTATGGATATTTGGTTGCAAAAGATCTTCTCTCTAGACAAATCTTAATGCTGAAGCTTTAGCCACATCTCCTTTTTGTTTCTGTTGTTAACATCTGTTTAACTGTTAAAATGCAAAGGCATCTACCTCTCTATCCCCTAAATGCATTTTAAAAGCTATACATCTGCCCTCACAGCCTGTACTGCAGGATCAGCAAGAGAGCGGCAGAGCTAACAATAATTGGAGGGGGAAAGGCCACAGCACTATCGTGTTAATAATTTTTATACATTTGGAGCAGAAACAACCATTTTTTTCTGGGGCATGCTGATTCTGCAAATCAGTAAGACTATTTTGTTCCACATCTGCATTTTTTAAGTGCAAATCAAAGAAATTCTATCTTTTCTTGAAAACCTTCCACCCAGGCAAGCACTTTCCAAAGTGCAAGCTGCAGCAGGAGGGACCATTCTACTGAAATGAGTGAGGAAAAGGCATCTGGAGCATGAAGAGCGTGAGCCACATCGTTAGCAGTCACTCTACCAAACAGATTTCTCCTTCAAGGTTTTTTTCTTACTCGTTATCTGCAGAATCATTACTTGTCCCAAAAACTTTCTGTAATTTGTCCACTTACACAGCATTATAAACGTTAATTTTACCTTCACAAGACAGGCCATGAGAGGTGACTCCAGAGAGGCTCTCCCTACACACGTTACAGAAGGTAGGTCGGGCATGGGAGCAGGCGTACCAGTTATGCATCCCTGAGAAATGTTCCACATTAAACTGTGCGGTCTAGTAAAGGAGAAGTTAAGACAAATTTGCAAGTACAGAACACAGCTACAGTGACTGAAATTACCAAGGGTTTCCATATTACTGGGAACAGTGCAATGCTCAGGAAAAGCAAGTTCAAAGGGAGTTTCAGCTTGCTCTCCCTCCAAACTTCCAAACAAAATCATCATAATAAATTAACATGAAGCTACATTTTGACTTGGAATACACATTTCACGCCAAGAAGGGCTAGACTACTCCAGTTCTGTGTCCTGTAGCTTGATCTTTTGAGCAGGTTGCACTAACAGGGATATCAACTTACCTCATAGTGTTCTCTAGACTGTACAGACTTTAGAGAGCTTATCCAGTCCTCCATTTCTTTTCTGTTTTCAGCACACAATATTAGCCTCCTAAATGGAGTGATTATCTGAAAAAGATTTGCATTGTGATGATTCCAGACAGTGGAAATCGTTAATAGAATAGAATATCTGATATAATTTTCTCCCTGGGATGATGTAAATGAAAGACACACTCCTAGATCACAGGATATTACATGCTTTAAAAATATTATTTTCTTTATAATAGACTACCAAAACCAGTTTGCTTTTCCTCCTTCAGTTCCTAAGATTTGTATCAGGCTTTGATACAGGTTTTTACAATGTATATCCATCATGACTCTTTTTCAGCTCTTTGTTTATGCACTGAGATTTGAACACTCAAATAGAAAGCTCTGAAATTGCTAAAGTAACCGTTCTAGAAATTATTAATTGAGGAAGATTTCATTCCTATTTCCTAATAGCATTACAGCAGTTGCAGGGTCCATTCAAATTGCTGGAAACAAAAAAACAATAAACAAAAGCCTGGAAGTAAAGTAAAAAAAAAAAACAAAAAAACCCAGCTTTCATCACATTTCTCTATCTTGCACATTGATATTAAAATTACATAATTTTACATATATAAATTTAAAACAAAACATTCTATATAAAACTTAATATAGGAACAAATACAAAAGCTTTTATAAAAAGACACAGAGAACAAAAGCAAATAGCTGAAATCATATCCTACAGTCCTTCTAGAATGGTTGAAGGAATACTTGGAACAAGTTGATGCTGGGGGAGCTTTAAGCGGTCTGGATTTAGACTCTAGAAATCTGAAAATGCAGTATCTCGAAGGGTCAGAGTATAAGCTGTTTTCCCCTTTCCCTCACCAGTAGAGAAATAATTAAAATAACAGTAAGGCTCCAGAAACTATCAGCTAACTCCCACTGAAATTATTTTGAGTGCTGCACTAAAATAGATGAAGCAGTTACTTTCATAGCAAGGAATTTAAAATAAAATAAGTATATAACATCAAAGGAAAAGGTATTTGTTTTGTTGTATGAAGTCTGAAAAAATAAAACTAAATCCTCTATAAGTCTTATGCATAAATCCATAGCATATTATGTACTACCCACACTTGCAAATTACTTAAATAAAACAAAGATTAGACCACCAAAAAACATCTGCTCTGAGTATTGTTTTAAACGCTACAGGCTAAATATTGTAATAGTTGTACAATATTAGTAATCACTTATCTACATCTGCATTTACTTACCCAATCTCTGCTGGAAATAGTCTCTAGTCTTGATTTGCCCTATCCACTTCTTCATTAAACTGACTGAGCTGCGCTTTAACATATCTCAGAGGCAATGTAACTGCAAGCAACTGCAACTGAAGTGCAGCAGGCTGCAAGTCACATGGAGGTGAGGCAAAAGCCCTCCAGGCTTTTTTTTTTTTTTTTTTTTTTTAAGATGTATGCCCTTGGCAGGGAATGGAATCATTTTTCTCTGTTTTCTATTTCCTTCAATCTTGCCTAAGCTTTTTAATAAGGTTTATTAGCAGCTATCCATGACTCTTTCTAAAGAACATTTAATGCAAAGAGCAATGCTTCTCTCATTAGTTTGGAGCCAAACAGACGCTTTATTACTTCAAAATGCTTTTCTACGCCAGGTCATCAAATGAAGCCCAGAAAAGCCATTAAATCATAATATAACCCTGGCTCCAACAATAATCAGCATTCTCCAGGAATTTCCAGGTTACAGTTGACTCTGAAATCTTATTTGTGCAAATAAACCCACCAAACTATTTCCTATTATACAGCATGACATCATAATACGGATTAAGTTAGGAGAAGTCCACCAAAACCTCTGCAATTCAGGTCAGTCCTTCCCACACGTTCATTACCGATTCTAACCAGCAGTCAGATGCTGTGAAACGCCCTTAAGTAACAACAGCTGCGTTTGTTGCTGAAGATCTGAAAATCTTGGTCTTTCCAAGTGATATTTATTTATATTACTCATGTCTTTAATACACAGAGATCCCCCCGCATGCCCCTCTTTGCTCTCCCTAATCCTCTAAATCAAGATCTTAGCTCAGTTGCTGAAATGCAGCTCTCTAGTGTCAACTGAGATGTCCTTTGGTACCCAAAGCATCAGCCCAGGGCTGGCAGACACGGCAGAGGACCAGACCACCTGGATCAGTAGCTATAACCCAGGTGGGACACCAAAGGACATCTCAAAAAGTACTACCCACCCAGGTGTTAACAACCAAATCCTGTCACCAAACGTTGCTAATGAACATATCATTGCATATAAATGTACCAGAACTTCCTATATCCTAAGTTTTATTAAATATTACAGTGGAAAGTCAGAAGACTCATACAAACCTGTATACGCAGCACACAAGACAACGATTACTCTACATATTCTCCTTGATTTGCATATTTCTAAACAACAAACTTCAGGAAGGAATATGGTATACCAAAAAAGACAAAATACATTCTATGCAAAAACTATTGGCTATTACTGGATTCTTTCTTCAAAAAAAGGGAAGCTAAACAGTGCATTTAAGCTCCCATTCCTTTTTTACGTCTAAAAAATTATTAGAAGGTATATTCTCACTATTTGTTAGGTCTTTCACATAAGAACTCAGTGAGCCAAAGAAATGATTAGCACATAGAGCTTTTTTTTTTTTTTTTTTAAACATATCATTAAGATCTGAAATTTATTCCCAAAGGATGTTCAGGAGACCACAAGTATAAACGTCTAAAAAGGGATTAGACAAAGTCATCAAGAGTCGATGCATCATATACTATTAAAGACAGTTTATCTGACCTTCAGCTTAGTAAGTCCTCAAAATTCACTAATTACTGAATGCTCAGAAGTTATGCAAGAGGAAGGATCACTGTCCATGCCCTGTTTCTTATGATCAAATACAAGATACTATATTATTCTGATTCAGCACGGCTTTATGAGCTTTACTCTCAGTAAAGAGAGTAAGATAAGCAGAGCGTGCTTATCCCACGCTCAGAATGATTTCATACACCTTTTCATTCGCATTTGCACAAAAGGCATGCTTTCTTATGGATGCTCAAAGAAAGTTATGAAAAACTAACTTAAGTGGTATGTTTGCAGTGCATTTATTACAGATAGCTAAACCCATATGCAGGTTTAAAACAAAATAGCTTTAATTGCCCTTAAAGCTAGTTCTAGCCATGTAAATCTGGATTTTACTAGTAATGTCATCTCATTGTGTGCAGCCATATTCCAAATCCTATAGGCAGCATCTTATCTTCTATTGTCTTATTCCATATTACTTTTTTTCCTTAATTAACCTTCAGTGCCCCAAATATTATTACTTATATATGACTTGATACACTAAGCTCTCAATAGACATGAAGAAATTGTTTAATTCAGTGACAAGAGTAGCATCACAGGAAACACTGGAAAAGCTGAAGTAACATGCGAAGAAGAGAACTCCTCCCTCTCTTTAAAACTCAGAGCAACTCAGGTGCTAACGGTTCACACACTGACAAAGCAGTAGACAAATCGAGAAGGATGATCACAGATGAAAGGCCTTAAAAATGAATAAATCAAACAAATTTAATTTAGAAGATTAAGTTACTTTGAAAATTTTCACCCTTGTCAAATAGCCAGGAAGAAGTCACTGCTGATTTTGGAGGAGAGAGTTACCAAAGCCAGATACTGCAGTGTCTTGGAAAGTAATGAAATTGAGGTGGGGGAAGACACAACACTTTTAATGCAGTAAGCATAGTCAAAGACTGTGCAGTATTTAAAGCTGAAGGGAAACAGTGCAAGTGCTAAGATATCAGAAGGAATAAAGAAAATCTGGGTAGGAAGAAAAATGGCCCATTATTGTGATAATGTTCCTGTTTTATTCAGAAAAATAAGGGTCTTTGAGGAGGGAATAAAGGAGAGAACAAGAGCACATTCTTCAGTCTGCCACCATGTAGATCTTGCCATAAATTAAGATTTTTTACACATGTCGATATTGGGATAATTCAGCATCTAAAAACATACCTATACTTAATATATAAGTACATATGCTCTTATGCATATGCAAAAGGAGGAAAGGACTTCAGTGAAAATTACCTAGCCAAGTTTTGCGCTACTGCTGCAACTTTTCTTTCAAACAACACCTGCCAGGGCCCTTTCAAAGTAAATAAAATTGCAATTAAATTCAATGGAAATTTGAAAGCACCTTTTGCTTTCAAAGGGACTAACTTCAATGCAGTACTACATATTCTTCAATGCAATGGCTTTAGACTTAAGAACTGTAAAATAAAACAAAAATTCAGTCTTTGCCCAGTAATCTAGTGATTTATTTTGTTAAAATAAAATGTTGATATGATAAAAATATATTAAGAGGAACAGTTCCCAAAACTTGGTGGTTACTGCCTGGGTTCTCTGTGGGAGCCCCTCTCTTTTCCATGCACTCTATACGGTGCCAGTTTAAGCAGCTGAGGTAGGTACTTACTGGCTGGTAAAGTGAAATGCCTTCAGATTTATTCTTATTATTGCAATACGAGAACAAAGATACAAACACCTCTCTAGCATGTCCATGAAGTAACATATATAATCTCTTTTTCAATGGTCATTGTTCATTTTACTATTGAGTCAACAAAATATAAGTCATCTATAAATTAATGCCAGGGTATTCAGAGTAAACTGATTGGTCTTTGGTAGATTGTGGGAAGTGCTGATAACTACATCAACCTATAATTATATTAAGTATTGTCCAGAATATTTATACTTTCCCCAAGAGAAAATGATGGTGTAATATTGCAAAATTAATGCTGTCAACAATGCAGTAAAATGGCAGCTCCTTTGTAGATCTTCTGGAATATGACTTTTCTCCCTCCCTTCTCACTGTAACTATATCAAAATCAGATTCTTATGATTTCAGTGCACCTGTGAATGACCACGATACCACAAACTCACCGCTAAAAAAAACTGCATTAATTATTTGGAAAAGTTGAAAATTCAGGCATGCCGAATGATATTCTAATCTGACATCAAAAACAAAGCTGCAATACCAATTCAAAAAAAAAAAAAAAACAAAACAACCACATACTACATTTGCTAACAAA